ATTACAAAAATTATGAAATTTATAGATTGCATTATATGGGTTTTTTTTACAAAGCAAAACAACCTCTAATATTTTGGGACATTCTGGATATCTAAATCAATTATTATTTGAAATTTATAGGTTACAATGTATTGCATTCCGGAAATTTAAAATCACTATATTTGTTAATCAAAATGTTTTTTTTTAATTTTGTGAAAAGATTAAGGTTATTTTTACTTTACTGCTCAGTTCTTTTAATCCTAAAATTTAAACTATAAAGTTCCTTTGTCCATTATTTAAGAACTGATTAGTTTTTGCGAGTTCCTCACTTTGACCTCAGACAATAAAATCTAAAATTAGACCATTTTACACGACATAACAGATACAGCCTTGAGGGGCCTCAAAAATGTTGTTGAATTCCATCAGTCCAGCCAAAGCTTATAGAAGCGAACGAAAATGCATATGTACTTCCAAATTTATTGTATATTTTTATACATTTGCCAATCGCAAATAAACGCTTAGATATAGAGATTCCTATAATATATTCCAAAATACATTAAACACATCAAGAGGCGAATGTAAAAGGACCAAGTCTACAGTAAAACTCACACAATATACACACAGATTCGAGGTGAAAAAACATTTTCCATTAGATATAATAATATATTATTTTAAATAGGGACTGGGGGTATTTAATACGGAGGGAGTTTTAATGCCACTCAAATATAACGTGGGCCACGAGTAGATAGACAGTCATCAGGGTGATCTGTCCCAGCATCATGGGAAAAACGGTCCTCAAGTACCGGGTGAATGAGAGCTTATAGCCGTGTTGCTCGGCAATGCCGGCTGCAATGACATTGGCCGATGCTCCATAGAGGGTTCCATTCCCACCCATCGAAGCGCCTAGGGTGAGAGCCCAGACCAGTGGTTGGAGTGGCAATCCGAGAGATGGCTTAGCTACCAGGGAGGTGACTAACTTAACCATCATGGCAGCCACCGGAATACTATCCAATATAGAGGATGCCAGCGCCGACATCCACAGTATCATAAAGATGGCCATGGCCAGGCGATGACTCTTGCCCACCGAAAGGATCACATGCTCGGTGAGCTCACCGATGCACGAGAAGATGCCCAGCCGCTCCACGCACTCCATCATCACGAACATGGCGGCGAAGAAGAGCAGTGTGGTCCATTCGATGCGGTGCATCAGGTGCTCCATGTCATCGCGATTCAGGATGATCAGCAGCAGGATCATGCCCAGCAGAGCCACCCAACCGAGGGGCAGGGTTCTCCAATGCGGCACGGATTGGATAAAGAAGCAGATTATAACGAAGATCAGGGCTCCAGCGGATTGCAGGAGCAGCGTCTTGTTTTTGATGGGGTACTGGAAAGGGAAGATCTATTGCTACAGAAAATCCTTATTTGGTTACTATGTAAGTCCGCTTACCTTCTGTTTGAGTTCATCCAATGTGTTCGTATAGACCTCCGATGATCCCACACCCTTTTGCAATCTTCTAAGAGTTCTCTTGAGCTGCTTAACTTTACCTTGAAGTGTTCCCCTTACCAACTGTGCATCCTTGGAACAGGAGCCCACTGCGTTCAGGGCCCTCTGCCACACCTTCATTTCCCTTCTAAGTTCACTCATCTCCTTGGGCTCATTGAGACGCAGTGCATCGATATTGTGATAGAAAAGGCGTAGATATACGCAACTTTGGATAACAGCAAGCACGACACCTGGGAAAGTGTGGGCAACAAATGTGGGAAAGGTTACATCCTAAAAAGAAAATGCATTCGTAAGAACTCTTTCAAAAATCCTATATCACACCTACATTATCCACAATGAAGTGATTAGTGCTGACTATAATACTGATGGGATCTCCAATGGGCGTTAGGGCTCCTCCGATATTGGCATGAACTATAATGCCCATTACCGCGGGCAGGGGATCCAACTGCATCACCTCACATAAACGGATGGCCACAGGAGTTAGGAGTAGGACAGCTGTCATATTATCCAGCACACTGGAGACCAGGCAGGTGACCAAACACAGACTATATATCATGGGCCAAATCTTGCCACCCGAAATCTCAAAACAAAATACAGCTAGGTAGTCGAAAACGCCGGTTTCCGTCAGTATCAAAATAAGCAGCATCATGCAAAAGAGTAGAGTGAGTAGCTCCATATCCATCCATTGGATAATCTCGTCCATATTGGGGCGATCTGGTAAAGGCTTATAAGATATTTAAAGGTAATAACAGAATTCAATAACCCACCATTAAAGCAGGCCAGAGCTGTCACCGAAAGAATCGAACACACCATGGCCACAAAGGTCCTTTCAAACAGTTCCCACACCAGCAGTGCATAGAAGATCAGCAGGATCAGGCCAGCCAGGATACTGCCCGTCCTGGCATTCACTATCAAGGGATTGTAGTTGAGTATAATGGCCAAGTCCGTATCCACATCGCTGTGAATATGCAAACGGAACTCGCTATCCTTCTCGTCCAGGATATCACTGAGTTCCTGGGTCATCTGGTAGGTGCGATTACTGGCCGAAGCCGGAGAACGAACTAAATCTTCTTCGGAGAGCAGAGGCAGACGCCAAGCTGGGAGAACATCCTAAAATAATAATAATTTTTAAATTTTGTTTAGTCCACTAAGATTGGGTAATACACACCTGGAACACATTGCTGCGATTCTCGCCAATGTAAGTGGACACCTGCGGCTGCACAGTCAGAAATCCAAAGCTCAAAGTCTCATTTTCAGGGGCATCCAGCGTGGAGAGCTCCCTAAAAGCCCCATGGATCTTCAAGCGAAAGTCACCCGTGGGTTTTTGGAGCAGCCTAAAATCTAAATATAACAGAATATAATAAATATAAATATTTATAATTGTTATAAGATGATAGTACAACTCACACTTTCCCTGCTCGCCCTGCGGCACATCGATGGTCTTCTCCAGCAGATGCTTCTCACCCACCGAGATCAGCACCACGGCAGCCAAAAGCCAAAAGAGGAGCAGACCTCCTCGTTTCCACAATTTGTCCCTTTGTCGCTGCTCCTTGGAGCGCTTGGATTTGTGATGGATCCGGCGGGCCTGGGACTTGGCATTGCCCGGTCCATTGGTCGGTTCATGGTCGGAATGGGTGGTGGCCTCGTCATCGGTGACATTCTCATCACCCGGACGGGTTTTGATGTCCAGGAAGTCGGAGCCAGCATAGCTGGAGCCCGGCTCGTCCTGAATTCGATTGGCATTCTTTATGTCCACCTCATCGTATTCATCCTCATCGTCAGTGGCTCCTAAGGAGGAACCTACAAGTGGGTGACATTCAAATAATTAATGAGCTTGCTTATGGCCATGGGAAAGGGCTGACATTTGTTTTGATGTGTGACAGTTTATTGATTTACTGAGGAGGAATAGGATTTCACGTTTCTGATATTTCTAACAAAAACTTTCGATTTCTGGGAAACCCCTCTACTCACCATGGATGCGTTCGTTTTCCATTTGAAAACTGGCCATGCTGGGATCGTGGCGTATTTCGGCGGGCAGTGCGCGCCATACCTGTAGCGACTGTTCGGTGACCTGAACGGCGGCCACCTGATTGTGCTGGCAACCGGTCCTGGGACTCCTGTGCTGCAGCTCGATGCCGGGACTTTCCGGTCGCAGATTTCTTATTGTATTCCGGAGACCCATAGTCTTGGGAATCAAAAACAGGTAGTACGGGAAATCGGGTGGCAGAACGTGGGAGCTTTTCCCAGAGATTGTAATGTGGTATATTGGACGTCAGCGAGGTACAGTAGCGGACATCTTTGCCGCACGCGAGGCACAATGCGACTGAACGGAATCTTCAGCGACCGAGTATAAATCCGAGTCGAATGCGAAACAGTTGCGGGGTTTCGGTTTCCATTCAGCCACCGGCGCTGCTTTCAATATTGAAAGTGAAAAGGCCCCCTTAACGGCCCCCGACCTTCGTTTCTACGAGGCATTATAGACGCCGATTTCCAGGATGGCGCACGCGCCGAGATATTGTTGTGGATTCCCTTGTTTTGCTCGCCTCATTCGGGGTCTACGATTCCCATCAACAAGTTTGCTTTTCACACTACCACGAATTTCCATACTTTGCCACATTATGACTTATTCAAATGCATTTACTTGACCTATAAATTTTCAACACCCCCGCCTTTAGATGCACTCAATTGTTCATACAACATCTGCTCGGTCTTTAAAAGTATTTATATATATTCCTATTCTTAGCGACTGCTGATAAACTTTTAATCACTTATTGAAGTATGACACTCTTCGAAGGAAATCGTTATTTATAATTGTCTTATTACAAATGTAATCATTTATTGTTTTAAATATTCTGTGCTTTGCATACTTTCTGGGTTGCGAAAAAAGGGAATTACATTAACTAAAATTGTTTGCACGTACAGAAGGTGTGAAAACGTACCTCCGAAATATGAAATTTCAAAAATATCCATTTGATTTTTAATTATTTTTATTTTTGTTTATCCCATTTTTTTAAATTTTCTTTAAATATAAAACAAAGGTTTTTATTTTTTCAACCTGGATATTATTTTTGTAAGTCTCAACTAGATTAAAATCATATGGAGGACATAATGAACTTGCCAATTTTATAGTCAATCTCCGAATTGCAGTCTGATACGGCTTTTAACTGTGGGTTGATTAAACATTAATGCATTTATAAGAAACGTGCCCGAAACGGCTGTTTCAGTAAGCTTGCTTAAACATTAAAGTTAAATTATTTACACAACTTTTGCCCTATTTATAAAAAGTTAAATTCACCAGAGAAATATTTGCACACATGCAAGGGTTTAAGTAAACGAAATTTTGGGACAATCCAAGCCTATAAAAGTCGGTCACAAGGCTCCTTCTGAAACACTATCACCTCGTATTGCAGGGAGTAAAATAATGAAAATATCCCTGATCTACATAACTGGTAAATAGTATACGCAATCGCTTTGTGAGTTTAATCAATGCTCTTTATTTGCAGTGGGCATTCTGCTCATACAGTTTGTGGAGGTGAAAGCAGATTTTGATTGGGGAGACCTTGGAGATGGTCCCGTCGAGGAAATAATTCCCGGAGATGGAGGTGATACTATCTGGAACCCCGAACCAATGGAACCCTGTGAGTGTGGAGAAAACCCGACCACAACCGAAAGGCCAAGAAGAACTAAGCGTACCACTACCACTACCGAACGAACCACCCGCAGGCGAACCACCACTAGACCAACCACAAGACGGACCAGCAAAAGGACCACAACAGAACCCACTACCACTCCGGACACAACAGATGAGCCTACAACGACCACGGGGGCATCGTGCACTTGCCCTGCAGTAACGAGCGGTTGTGCCGATCAAACTACTGCAAGCAGTTCCGATACATCCGCCGACACATCTACTGACACAACCACAGTGCCTACTACAGTACCTACCACATTGCCTACCACAGTGCCTACCACAGTGCCTACCACAGTGCCTACCACAGTGCCTACCACAGTGCCTACCACATTGTCTACCACAGTGCCTACCACAGTGCCTACCACAGTGCCTACCACATTGCCTACCACAGTGCCTGCCACCGACACTACAACCACATCAAGTATTACCTCTAGCGTTGATACTTCTTCTGCAACTCCTCCTTGCACATGTCGGCGAGAAACCACAACAACGTCGACAATTGCTCCAACCGCTTCTACCGAAAGATGTCCAATAACAACATCCACAAGTGCTCAAACTACTTCCACACCGACAACAACTTCCACAAGTGCTCCTACTACTTATACCCCAAGATGCCCAGTAACAACTTCCACAAGTCTCCCAACCACTTCAACTGGGACAACAACTTTGACAAGTGCTCCTATTACTTCCACCCCAAGATGCCCAATAACAACGTCCACAAGTGCTCCAACCACTACCACTGCGACAACAACTTCCACAAGTACTACTAGTACTTCTACCCCAAGATGCCCAATAACAACGTCCACAAGTGCTCTAACCACTACCACTGCCACAACAACTTCTACAAGTACCTCTACTACTTCCACCCCACGATGCCCAGTATCTACGTCAACAATTGCTCCAACCACTTCCACTGCGACACCAACTTCCACAAGTGTTCCTACTACATCTACCCCAAGATGCCCACTAACAACTTCCACAATTCTTTCAACCACTACCACTGCAACATCTTCCACAATTACTACTAGTACTTCTACCCCAAGATGCCCAATAACAACGTCCACAAGTGCTCCAACCACTACCACTGCGACAACAACTTCTACAAGTACTTCTACAACTTCCACCCCACGATGCCCAGTATCTTCGTCAACAATTGCTCCAACCACTTCCACTGCGACCACAGCTTCGACAAGTGTTCCAACTACTTCTACACCAAGATGCCCAATAACAACGTCCACAAGTGCTCCAACCACTACCTCTGCGACAACAACTTCTGCAAGTACTTCTACTACTTCCACCCCACGATGCCCAGTATCTACGTCAACAATTGCTCCAACCACTTCCACTGCGATACCAACTTCCACAAGTGTTCCTACTACACCTACCCCAAGATGCCCAGTTACAACATCTACAATTCCTTCAACCACTTCCACTGCGACAACATCTTCCACAAGTACTCCTGCTACTTCTACCCCAAGATGCCCAGTTACAACGTCCACAAGTGCTCCAACCACTTCCACTACGACAACAACTTCCACAAGTACCCCTAGTACTTCTACCCCAAGATGCCCCGTAACAACTTCCACAACTCCTACAACCACTTCCACTGCGACCACAGCTTCCACAAGTGTTCCAACTACTACTACCCCAAGATGCCCACTAACAACTTCCACAATTCTTTCAACCACTACCACTGCGACATCTTCCACAAGTGCTCCTACTACTTCTACCCCAAGATGCCCAGTTACAACGCCCACAAGTCCTCCAACCAGTTCCACTGCGACAACAACTTCCACAAGTACTACTAGTACTTCTACCCCAAGATGCCCAATAACAACGTCCACGAGTGCTCCAACCACTACCACTGCGACAACAACTTCTACAAGTACTTCTACAACTTCCACCCCGCGATGCCCAGTATCTTCGTCAACAATTGCTCCAACCACTTCCACTGCGACCACAGCTTCGACAAGTGTTCCAACTACTTCTACACCAAGATGCCCAATAACAACGTCCACAAGTGCTCCAACCACTACCTCTTCGACAACAACTTCTGCAAGTACTTCTACTACTTCCACCCCACGATGCCCAGTATCAACGTCAACAATTGCTCCAACCACTTCCACTACGACAACAACTCTTCCTACTACATCTACCCCAAGATGCCCAGTAACAACTTCCACCATTCCTTCAACCACTTCCACTGCGACAATATCGTCCACAAGTGCTCCTACTACTTCTACCCCAAGATGCCCAGTTACAACGCCCACAAGTCCTCCAACCAGTTCCACTGCGACAACAACTTCCACAAGTACTACTAGTACTTCTACCCCAAGATGCCCAATAACAACCTCTTCGACAACAACTTCTGCAAGTACTTCTACTACTTCCACCCCACGATGCCCAGTATCAACGTCAACAATTGCTCCAACCACTTCCACTACGACAACAACTTCCTCAACTCTTCCTACTACATCTACCTCAAGATGCCCAGTAACAACTTCCACAATTCCTTCAACCACTTCCACTGCGACAATATCGTCCACAAGTACTCCTACTACTTCTACACCAAGATGCCCAGTTACAACGTCCACAAGTGCTCCAACCACTACCACTGCGACAACAACTTCCACAAGTACTACTAGTACTTCTACCCCAAGATGCCCAATAACAACGTCCACAAGTGCTCTAACCACTACCACTGCCACAACAACATCTACAAGTACTTCTACTACTTCCACCCCACGATGCCCAGTATCTTCGTCAACAATTGCTCCAACCACTTCCACTGCGACCACAGCTTCGACAAGTGTTCCAACTACTTCTACACCAAGATGCCCAATAACAACGTCCACAAGTGCTCCAACCACTACCTCTTCGACAACAACTTCTGCAAGTACTTCTACTACTTCCACCCCACGATGCCCAGTATCTACGTCAACAATTGCTCCAATCACTTCCACTGCGACAACAACTTCTACAAGTGTTCCTACTACACCTACCCCAAGATGCCCAGTTACAACATCTACAATTCCTTCAACCACTTCCACTGCGACAACATCTTCCAAAAGTACTCCTACTACTTCTACCCCAAGATGCCCAGTTACAACGTCCACAAGTGCTCCAATCACTTCCACTACGACAACAACTTCCACAAGTACTCCTAGTACTTCTACCCCAAGATGCCCAGTAACAACTTCCACAATTCCTCCAACCACTTCCACTGCGATCACATCTTCGACAAGTGTTCCAACTACTTCTACACCAAGATGCCCAATAACAACGTCCACAAGTATTCCAACCACTACCACTGCGACAACCACTTCTACAAGTACTTCTCCTACTTCCACCCCACGATGCCCAGTATCTACGTCAACAATTGCTCCAACCACTTTCACTGCGACAACAGCTTCCACAAGTGTTCCTACTACAACTACCCTAAGATGCCCAGTAACAACTTCCACAGTTCCTTCAACCACTTCAACCACTTCCACTGCGACAACATCTTCCACAAGTACTCCTACTACTTCTACCCCAAGATGCCCAGTAACAACGTCCACAATTCTTCCAACCACATCCACTGCGACTACAGCTTCGACAAGTGTTCCAACTACTTCTACACCAAGATGCCCAATAACAACGTCCACAAGTGCTCCAACCACTACCACTGCGATACCAACTTCTACAAGTACTCCTACTACTTCCACCCCACGATGCCCAGTATCAACGTCAACAATTGCTCCAACCACTTCCACTACTACAACAACTTCCACAACTCTTCCTACTACATCTACCCCAAGATGCCCAGTAACAACTTCCACAATTCCTTCAACCACTTCCACTGCGACAATATCGTCCACAAGTACTCCTACTACTTCTACACCAAGATGCCCAGTTACAACGTCCACAATTCTTCCAACCACATCCACTGCGACTACAGCTTCGACAAGTGTTCCAACTACTTCTACCCCAAGATGCCCAATAACAACGTCCACAAGTGCTCCAACCACTACCACTGCGACAACAACTTCCACAAGTACTCCTACTACTTCCACCCCACGATGCCCAGTATCAACGTCAACAATTGCTCCAACCACTTCCACTACGACAACAACTTCCACAAGTGTTCCTACTACATCTACCCCAAGATGCCCAGTAACAACTTCCACAATTCCTCCAACCACTTCCACTGCGACAACAATATCTCCTTCTCCAACAACCCAGAGCTTGTCCACTACAACACCAGCGATTACAATTCCCACGACAACAAGCACAACAGTTCGTCCGTTAACCACGACGCGTCGTCCTTGTCCTTGCCGGCCACAACCTCCCAGTCAGATTCCGCCGTGGTCTTGGTGGTATCCTTACCCAACTTACCCCAATCCCGCGTGGCCCTGGCAGCCAAACCCAGTTATCCCGCAGTGGCCGCAGTTCCCAGGACTTCCAAATCCTCAATGGCCGCAGTTCCCAGGATTTCCGAATCCTCAGTGGCCGCAGTTTCCAGGACATCCAAATCCTCAGTGGCCGCAGCTACCAGGGCCAGGTAATCAGCTGCCCCTGCCATCTCCTCAGTGGCCCTGGCCTTGGCCAAGACCACCAGTAGTGATTCCTGCATCCAGCGACTGTGAAAACATATGCGAAAACCTATTAAAGGGCGTAAAGTATCAGGAGGATCTCATCAAAAGGTGTTTGTGTCCACGTCCATAATTCTACAAGAAAAATGTAGAATAATTTAAATTAATTACGAAATTGTTAAAGTCTATATTATTTAAATAAAATGTTACATAAAAAAAAATTTTGTTTAAGTGTGCATGTAGTTTAAACCTCTAGAAAGGACATGCTTTTTAGAAATGTTACCACCTGCAACCAAAATATATTTTTAGAAAAATGTTACTTATGTAGATCTGATATTAATTATGGCAATTCTAAAAAATTATAAGTCTGAATTGACCCGTGAATATTAAATTGATATTCACAGTTGTTTCTTCTGTGTAGTTACGGTGAACAATACAAACATTGTTACCAAGTGTTTAAACATGCAAATATAGATATAATTTAAACAAGTTTTTAATATTTACATTTTTATATTAATAAACTGAATTAAGACATGTGGGGTATTTGTACAGACAGAAATGTATTACACCTTTGCTATAAAAATGGGTCAATGTGCCTTTGCTACCGGATCCTGCAACAATATTGGACAAATTGAGCCCCTTCGTTGTTAAGTTCCAGATTGGCGCAGGCGCCTATATGGTCTTCTAGATTCTCTTGTTTTGTTCGACTCGTTCGCACACCCACAAAAGCTTGGGCGCCATCCATCAACAAGTTTTCATATTGCAGTCCTCCCCCTTTATCGACACTTGACTAGATTATTACTTATTTAAACGCAATGATTTGACCCATTATATTCTAGCGCCATCGCGTTTGGTTGCACTCCATTGCTCAGGCGACATTTGGTCGGTCGCACTTTATATTTGTTTTCTAAACGATTGCTCAAGAGCCAATATAAGTTGGACCCCACAATTGGGACAGGTTTAATGACCAATTGTCATGGGGATTACGGAACTCATTCCACCTTGAATTGGCTTAAATCATTAGCTAGTGATGAGGACAAGTAGATTGAGGTGAGGAAAATGTGTCGATTTTATGTAACCTCCCAAAATGTACCTCTTAAAAAACTACAGTGAAATTATTAAGCATACAACAAAATGCATTATATCAGATTTTTATACTTTTAGGCAATCAAAATAAAATCAAAAATAAAACAACATTTAATATAATCTAAGTAAAAACAATTTTACAGAGTATTTTAAGACTACTACTCCTTTTCGACCCAGTCAAACCATAATTTGCTGGTAATTTATCAAAATCTAGATTATTATCCAGCTGATGGATTATGTTTCGGGTCGATTAGTACCCAATTTCTAGGGGACGATTAAAATTCGTCCTTCGTTCAGGTGAGCTTGCACATTTCCTACACAATGAGCAGATGTTAATGGGTGCCTTTCTCTTTTTTGTTTTTTTTGTTGCTAACTTGTTAATACAAATACACGGTGTGCCAATTCAGAAATCCAACAAACTATAGTGGACATACTAACAAAAACAGCTAGCAAGGCAAATAACAAGTTGTTTACACAAAGAAGGCTTTTTGAGTGGACCTTGGAAATAAAAAAAAGTCCTACAAATAGTACATAACTTCAAAATTAAGATAATAGTCAATACATATAAAACGCCCACCCACTTGATATTGCTTCTAAGATAGAAAAATTATTTAAAATTTAGTGTTATTTACTTTTGGAATACATGGCGTATGCTTAATTTGAGCACGAAAAGTCCACTCTAAAGGACACACACACGTGGTAACAAAGGGGGATAACGCTTACCCCAACCCACAACCCCCAAAATGGGTCGGGGGTGGATATAGTTTGGCCCTGCTCACTGGCTAGCGCGCAAAAAATAATTTTGTTATTGTGTTTTCCCTCATAAGTGGACATGACTGACCCAACGAAAGCTCATTCAGCGCTGGACAGGCGAGCTGGAAAGGTTCAAGGCGGAAGATGTCATCGCCGGCAGAGCGGACGAACTTCGTGCAACACTTCGGACAGACAACCTGAGCGATGGGCTGCGGCTCCTCCATGGGTACGCAGACGAATCCTGTCGTCACGGAGGTCAGCTCGGAAATGCAACCTCGCCAGAATGGCGCCGCCGGAGTAATGGTAGTTGTGCAAGTCCCTTCACCTCCTTTCTTAATCAATACCCCCCTTCCATTTCGTCATCAGAATATTGTCGAGCAGTATGTGCGCCTGGACGAACAGATCAGCAAGCTGGAGGGCACTTGTCCTGGTCCGCGAATGGCCACCGCCGAGGCTTGGGTGGAACATCTGCAGAGCAAGCACGAGGCGATGCTGGGACTGGAGGGCATGGGAGTGGCTCCTTTGCGGGAGAGGGAACTGGAAACGGAGGAGGGCATGCCCCTTCCGGGTTACACGATGGGCCGGCAGGGCGACCCAATTGTGGCCAACACACCCACAAAGGACTTGGCCCAGGTAAATGACCTACCATTTACAAGTGTGATGTAATTTTCCTTACTATATTATTAACTTCCGTTTTTAGCTCGCCTACAACCTGGGCGTAATTGGCGATGCCCGCAAGGCTTCCATGCACGAGGACTTTTTTGCCAACCTGAGCGAGTCCGCTTTATATTTGCTCAGCATTCGTTTCTACGGAGAGTTGCTGGAACACACCAAGATTCGTCTGAAGACCCTCGTCGAGAGCTATGCGGAGTTGAACGAGCTGTACGTTAAGCAAGATGGGATTATAGCGTACATAAGTGGGGGAACGTACATGACCCGGCTGGAGGAGAGAATTGATGAGCAGCTGGAGGCGGCCAGAGATACAAGAGATAAGCTGGGAAGCGCCCTGGAGCAGTGGCGCATCTGCGGATTACTGCTTAGAGCAGCTGCCAATTCCTCCACGCAGGCATTGAAGCAGTGGCGACAGCTTGGCAGGATGATGTGAGTAACAAAGGGTGAACAATGAAGCATAGGTTGATATGTAATTCACTTATAGAGATCCCAAACAGAAGCTGCAATGGGCCTTAGACTGCCGAAGTCTGCTACATGCATCCATGGTTTCCCTGGAGGCGGCTCATATGGCTCTGCCGCATGTGGAACTAAAGTACATGAGTCATCGGCAAGTCCTAGCCGTTAAGCACTGTAATACCTACCTAATCACGGACATAGCCAACAAGGCGCGGTGAGTCATTATATCATTCTTCTCGAGGAACTGCTCCAATGCCAGACAAATCCTTTTTAGGTACGAGCACACGAGTCGCGTCTTTACCAGCTACGAATCGAACATGTCCAAGACATGCACTTGGCTCTACGAGACCTTCAACAACACTCTGCGCCCCGACTTTGACAAAGCGGAGGAGACTGTGTGCAAGCTGTCCAAGACGCTACGGGATCATCGCGAGGAGGTCTTTGGCACAGTACAAAAATGACAAGGAACTAAATTGCTCATTATTCTGGGTTTTTGTACATTACTTTAATAAACAGTAGGCATAACGTTAGTACCAATAACTCTTAGCTGGCGTGCGTTCTTCCTTAATGCCCATTTCCTCCATGATGTCCATCTCGAAGGTGGACAACTTGGGCTGGAAGGTGATCTCGCCCACAACAGCGCCTGAAATGGATCGAAAGGATGGTTAAACACGAAGATGAATGATGTTCAGTGAAAAGGCATACCTGGCGTATCCTTCTCCCTTTCGATATAGGCATTGGGGGTCTTGTAATCGTGCGTCTGGTTGTTTGTCTCCGGAACGGGTATGATTCTGCCCGATCGCAGGGAAACGCGCACTTTCTCTCCCTCCTCCGTGAAGCGCCACTCGAAGTCTGTGCCCTGCAGATCCGAGGGATCCACCAGACGGATATCCTTGGTAACATGCAGCGGTGCCTCGGACTTGATTATGATGCCGGGGAATTCCTTCTCACCGCCCACCTTGCGGTAGTGCCAGTTGAGTCCCTCTACAATGACCCAGTTGCGCTCGGGGATCACCTGGGTGACGATGCCCTGCTTTCCCTTGTCCTTGCCCACTAGGACTTCGATGCGATCGCCGCGGAAGAAGCTCCAGTCCTCTATAAGGATAATTAAAATAGGTTAAAAGGGATAGCACAGATACTTGTATATCATCTCCTCACCAATTGGTTCCACCAGCACATGGCGACGCACTGTTCCGGGCATATTCTGTTGACGGAAGTGTCCCGTCCATGAGCGATTTGTGGTGTAGCGGAATCGCTTGCGCTCCACTGTGCGGGGCAAATAATTAATTTCCTTGGGCGTTTGCCAGTACACCTGTTTGAAATTAATAGAAATTAAGGTTTATTTATGCAGATACATTTTTCATATAAAATCTGTTACGTGAGCCTCATTGTAAAAGTTCTTCAATGGAAAGGGCTTTTCCTGTTACCTGCTTTTTGCTGCGTTCAATGTATTCCTTGGGCAGATTGGAGAAGTTCTTCAATTTGCTGGCCAAATATTGTGTTATACGCATTGTGTAAGCTTAATTCAACGATTAACAAAAAATAAAAAATTAAATGCGGCTTGCAATCAGCTGTTTGCATCTGAAGAAGAGCCAATCACAGCGAAACGTAGCTACATTACATGTGTTAGCTGTTTATGCGGTGATAAACAACATGAACAAAAATATTTATTTACACCAATAAACTAATGATATTTAAATATGACGGCGTTACTATTGGTGTTAAATAAATTGTAAATATTAATAGATATTGACGTTAAAATAAAATAATTATCAAAATGTGCTACATTATTTTTTGCAAAACTAATGGTATTTTTATGTTCTCTCAACATTTAAAGAAACTGAATTAGATTTCGTTAATATTATTTAATAATTCATTTATACTGATCAACATATTCGCGAAAAACCAAGTGACCGTCGTGTAAACTCCGTTCGTTGTGACTGCCAAATCCGCAAAGAAGAAGCAGCTGTTATTTGTGCTGCTCTTGGGTTTTTTTATCGCTCCCAGCAGCCCTAAATTGCAATGCAAACCGGCTTATTATAAACAAAAAGGTAAACGCTAGACTATATAAATGTGGGCACGTGCAGGTGCAGCTCCATTGAAAGACGCGCTCTCGTACCGAGACGTCTGTTCTGAGCAGCACCATCATCAACCCGAAAAGGGGCCCTCTCAGTGCTTAGTCACATAGTCACTTCCATATCGCGGCACTCACACCCTGATAACCCAGTTCCTGCCCAGCCATAAGTTCTTAGAATAACAAGCAATATGTCTCACCACGTAGATATGGAAGACCACCCCGATCCGGAGCCTGTGCTGCTCTCCAAGCACGCCAAGAACCTGCTGCGGTTCCTCAATCTCCTGCCTGCTCGCATGGCCTCGCATGATAACACCAGGTTAGTCCATCCTCACATTATCCTTTCAATCAGATTACCTTACATATCTTCTTTTCCCCAGGAGCACCATTGTATTCTTCGCCGTCTGCGGCCTGGATGTACTGAACTCCCTGCACCTGGTGCCCCCACAAATGCGGCAGGATATCATTGACTGGATCTACGGAGGATTGGTGGTGCCACGCGACAACGAGAAGAACTGCGGCGGCTTCATGGTGAGCATAAATTCGCGTCTGTCAGGTGAACAAACAGCGCGTCGACATGCCAAACAGTAACGCCTTCCGCTCCCACATCTACTCTCATTCGAATTCCTTATCTCCATACGTGGCCAGGCAGCAGACACTGCGGCAGACCTTGTCGCATCCCCACATATTGGTTGTTTATCCAGTCAGTTGATATGGGAGCACTCGTATTTTCTTCTCTGAAAACCATTCACGATGTTTATATTCGGAAGCTAGCACATTACTCACAACTATTCATCATAAATAACGAAGAAATTCTTATGTAAGGATCAAGAACCCATTTAAACTCTATTTACGGCGCCACGTTTATTTCCCCTTCACACCATACAAATCGACCTGCTTGCACATACAATAGCTGTTGAATTAATAGCACCACATATGCCAGTTATAAATTAGAAGAATTTTAAAGTACAGATTAATTACTCATGGTCAAATATATGTATTTTATCAGAGGTCAGCTACCCCTATTATCAAAACAAGTAATTCAAAGTCACAGTGTAAATTATATTGCAAAAGTATTTCTACCTCACTTATTAATTACAAAGTCAACTCATCTGCTTCCCATTCAAAGCCAATTCACTATTATTCCGACCTCTACTGTTCAAATATGCATAATTGTAGGGGAGTTCTCCATTTGCGCAGCAGCTCGATTACCAAGAAACAAACCCCACCCCACCACCACCTTGGTTTTATCGCGCCACGCTTTATCAGCGAAGCTAGCAACATGCAAAACCACTTTGAGATAGATAGATCAATTAATTGGACTCTTTGCAGGGGTGCCGCGCCATGGTGCCGAAAAGCGAGGACGCCGAGATCTTGGAGTGCATGCGGAAGTACCAGTGGGGACACCTGGCCATGACGTACACCAGCCTTGCCGTGCTGGTCACCCTGGGCGATGATTTGTCCCGCCTGGATCGCAAGAGCATTGTGGACGGAGTGGCTGCCGTGCAGAAGGCGGAGGGCAGCTTCAGCGCCTGCATCGATGGCAGCGAGGATGATATGCGTTTCGTGTACTGCGCCGCCACCATCTGCTACATGCTGGACTACTGGGGCGACGTGAACAAGGAGACCATGTTTCAGTTCATCACCCGGAGCCTGCGGTACGATTACGGTTTCAGCCAGGAGCTGGAGGGCGAGGCCCATGGAGGCACCACATTCTGTGCCCTGGCTGCACTGCATCTCAGTGGCCAGTTGCATCGTCTGGATGCCGCAACGGTGGAGCGTATGAAGCGCTGGCTCATTTTCCGGCAGATGGATGGATTCCAGGGACGTCCGAATAAGCCAGTGGACACTTGTTACTCCTTTTGGATTGGTGCTTCGCTCTGCATTCTGGACAGCTTCGAGCTGACCGACTACGCCAAGAACCGGGAATTCATCTTGAGCACGCAGGATAAGCTGATTGGCGGCTTTGCCAAGTGGCCGCAGGCCACTCCAGATCCATTTCACACTTACCTAGGCCTCTGCGGTCTGGCCTTCACCGGTGAACCCGGTCTGAGTGCCGTGAATCCCAGTCTTAACATGTCCATGGCCGCATACGCTCACCTGCAACACCTGCACGAGCAGTGGCGATCTGAAGATGGTCGCGGCGATGCAGACCTAGGTCTGAGCTCCGCCGCCAAGCAGCAACTGCAGCTGACGAAAGGTGGCGAGGAGAAAGCCACCACAACGACTACCTCTAACTCGCCATTAATTCCGGCACAATGATGGGAATTTGCACAAAGTCCAAGGGGAATGTTAAAGCACACTATTGTATTTATATTGGTCGCATTTTAGCCACGCTTTTTTACCTGTATTTTAATGCGAAAAGCTCGAGCTTTTGGAGAGAGAGATGAATAAGTAAGTATGTTTATTGTACAGCCTAAACTAATGTTAACAATGTGTAAGATTAAGCTTAAAGGTAAATTAAAGCGTCCCATGCTGAGGCATGTATTTACAGCAAAAACATTTTGGATAGCCTCGAAAGCCTCCTTGGTACATTGAGTTTATTGGTCCGGAATCGGGGTTAATCTCACACCTGCAGGAACAGGCGGTGGTGGTGCAAGCTAGGCATGTAGCCCATGCCGGGCCGATCGATGTGCACACGTCCACGGAGTGGGGCTAGCACTCGTTCAGTGACCAGTGGGCAGCGCTGCACCATCAAAGACTGCAGCAGCGGGCAACTCTGGGTGAGGGCGCTGCGGAAGAAGAGGGAAAACGAAGTGGAGGCTAGTAAACAAGAAAGTCGCTGGGATAGAAGTCGTTCAGGTTGTACGCGTTGTGTCCCACGTCCTGTTGCGGCCTATCGATGAAGAGACGCCGCTGACGAAGCGGCGCCAGGGAACGCTCCGTAACCCGCGGACAGCGGCGGATGAGCAAGGTCCGGAGGCGCGGACAGTGCACTGACAAAGCGCTGAAAGATACGCAGATGCGGATGCAGATGCAGATTGGTTTCCCCAGAAACACACAGACACAAGGCACGCACAGGATTACAGACAACATGACAATACAGCCGTCAGGGTTTACTTACTGCACTCCATAGTCGGAGATGGCTGGACAGCCGATCAGGTTGATGTGCTCCAGCTCGCGGCAATAGTTTCCAATCTGGATGAGTACTTGGTCGGTAACACTGGGCGTATTCGCGAGCGACAGTACGGTGAGCTTGTTCAGCTTCCGGAAAAATATAATCAGGCAGCGCTCTCCAATGGCGCCGCAGTACGAGATGTCGAACTCCACCAGCTTGCTCTGGTGCAGCGTCAGAGCGTCCACGGCTCCAGTGGTCAGCCACTGGCACTTGGACAGCTTCAGGACGCGCAGTCCCTTGCATTCCACGATGATCGGCTGCAGCGAAAGGGCCGTGATATTGACGCACTCGTTCAAGTTGACGGCCCACAGACGTTTCTTGTTGTTGGCCAGCAGTGGCAGCAACAGCTCGTCAGTCAGCCATCGGCAGCAGGCCAGGTGGAGCACCTCCAGCCGTCGGCAGCACCGGGCGAGCACTCGAAAGCCCACATCAATATTGCTTGTGTTGTTCCCGGAGAGATGGAGCTCCTGCCTTTTTTCCAGAGCAGCCTCTACGAAGCGTTGCGCAGTACGCGAGCAGCAGCGCAAGTTGAAGAGATCCTTGAGCGACAGGTAGACGGCCACCTGGGGGATAAGCACGTCGTCCCAGCAGACGTCGAACAGAGATTTCGGAGCCGGGGTGGTCGAGCTAAAAAGTGGCCTTGGGCTGGGTGTTCGCGGTGGGGGGCCACCGCTGGCCATGGCCGCCAGATGGGCCTCCTCCTCGGGATGCAGAGTGCACATGCTGCCGCCTCAGGTTACGTGATCTGCCCACCAACGGAGCACTCCAACGCAATCCTCAGGTGCTCGGCGAGAACGCAGTTGTGTTGTTTACTTGCAAGCAATCAGCTGTGCTTTCGCCATTCACACAAAACAAAGCGACTAGCTTTGTAGAGTGGCCCCTCTAATCTTAGTATTTTACTCGTCTACGGTATTTATTTCAGTATTTTTCATGTGTGTAGAAGTTATGTAGAAATGATTTCAAATTTACATTTTGACGGTTAGGTGACCCCGAGTGTTTCGTTAGTTAGGCTTTTTCTTGGCTCATGGCTTCCCATTAATCTTGAAAACCATTTAAAAATTTTAAAACAAATGATCGAAACAAAATCGTATAGTCGTATGCTTTTCAAATGATCTCTTTATTTAAGAAGTTTAGTAAGAGATACCAGTGTGGTCGCGGATCCAGTCCAAGTGGTAGGTGACGCGCTGGAATCCAGCGGGAGCACCGGACTGGCAGCCGTTGGTGGAGACAAAGTTGCTGACTCCCACCAGCTTGTTGCCGTCGTGTGTGACCAGAGGACCACCGGAGTCTCCTCCGCAGATGGACTTGCCGTCGACGGTACGGGTGCAGATAACGTTGTCGGCCACGCTGCCGTAGGCCCAGTTGCACTCCTCGTTGTGGACGATCTGGATGTCGACGCACTGCAGCCAGTCGGGAAAGGGGCTGCCGTCGTAGGTGCCGCCCCATCCGCAGGCCACGGCCCACCACTCGTTGTAGTCGTTGTAGCGGTCGTTGTAGCTGGGCAGCTCCACCTTGTTGACCATGTGCCAGAAGTCCACGTGGGGGATGCGGATCAGAGCAATGTCGGCGTTGGAGTGCTTGATGAAGTCGCCGTTGCCGACGGTGTGGGTGTACTGGGCGTTGGTGCGCCAGGTGGCTCCGAAATAGACAATCACGGAGGCGGCGTCTCCGATGCAGTGCTCGGCGGTCAGGACCCAGGTGTTGCCGATGATCGAGCCACCGCACCACCAGCCTCCGCTGAAGCCAAGACCCACGGTGTAGGGAGCCTTGCCCTCGGGGGCGGCGTAGCCGTTGGTAATGCGACCCTCCATCTTGGTGGCCTTGGGCAGGTCCTTCACGAAGACCTTCTCTTCGAAGGCGGCGGCCGAAGCCACGGCCAGAGCCAGGATAGCTAGAAACACCTTCATATCGATGATGATACTGAATTCTGCTTCCAAGGGTCAGCCTTTTATACTGCTATACAGAACTCAGTTCCATCTATCCGTACCTCCCACTTGAATGGGCTTGTAAATATTCCCCGAAATTCCCGAACACGATGTCGTCGATAAGGGGGGAAAGCCACTTTATTCAGCTTTCTTTAGCGGAAGAACTTTAAATCAATATGGCTTTGTGTGGGGTAATGCCTACTCTATAATACCTATCTTGAAATCATGGTAATTAATAAATTCGGTCAGCTAAAAATGATTGTAAATAACAAATCTCATTCGTGGTTCACAAAATATTTTCGGTTTTTCCCTTGTCTTGAATTTTTTTTTTGTTATTTATAACTATGTTTGTCAGCACTTTCATAATATTTTATCTAATCATAATTTTAATAATTTTAAAATTAGCTGTGCATCTGTATAGCCCTCGTGGATCCGCCCATGCGTATCACCACATTTTAAAACGCACTTTAAAATATTCTGATGTGGAACTATTTGTAAAAGCTAGTCATACTTTGTTATTAAAAAGAAAGGAAACTATCTTCGGCAATGCAAAGCTTCTATACACTTTCAGCTAAAACCATATCTACAAAGAAAGTCATACGAATATTACGAAAACAGTATAAACCGTATATTTGCGGAAGATATGTTTATAAATAAACCATTACAAAATAATCTTAAATATTTACAAGTTGATATGTTCTAGATAAAAAGACTATAAAATTTTTGTATTATATATTTTTTGATCAGTTTAATTGGTAGGACTTAAATCTTACAAAATGTCTTGTCTTACCTTAATCGTCATTTCAAATTATAGAAAAGTGCGAAAAAAGAAGCTGGAAATTTGTTTCCATTATTTTTTCGAGCTATGGGATTAGTAGTCATACTACCTGCAACAGAAATAAGACTTTTGGGAAAGCTTTACCCCGGTGGCTTAAAAACTGAGATGATAACTTGTGTGGAAACATGTCCGTCTGGACATGGCTAGATCGAGTCGGCTGTTGATACTGATCGCACCAGGAGAGTGTGTGTAGGAGCCTATAGTCTATATTGTATACAGTATATACATGAAGAAATGAATGTCTACTGTGATGGTCCGATTGCAACGAAAAATACACAATTCAAAAGGTATCGTTTTTGTTTTTACGATTCATCAAAATCGTATAGCTAATTGCATACACAGGCATATTTAGGGTATTCAATTGCGTTGCAAAAGTGTAAACTTTGTAAGTTTGCCAGACGAGAATTGTGAACGCCCTCTATTTTAAAATATCGTTGCAGGAAATTGACGTACAAAATAACGCCAACTTTTAAATTTTTGTGAAAAGAAGGCTATGATATTTTCTGTCATTAAAACCCAACTTTTCAGTATATTTTTAGTATTTTAGATAAAATTCCTACCCATTATTAACCCCCTATTTCTACACAAGTACAACAGATTTGTATACATAGGCTGGGGTGTTGTAGGCCTTGAAAACTATTTTGTATGGAAATTGTTGTTGGAACTGCTTACACTTTTACACTTTTCAAACGATTGCAACGCAATTGAATACCCTAATTGTATTGTTGAAGGTCAAATAAAAAAAATTTAGAACGTGTATTTATTAGTAGATCGTATACTACATTTTCGAAACAAAACTTTTGTATGTTAAAGGTGCGATCGTCACTAGTTTTTTACATCGTTACGAGGTGTTTTTGTGCGTTGCATACCTTTTGGGTATATGTCTTCTACACTGCTCTGCAAACTACTGGCTAATATTATTATACCCTCTGCAAGGTTATACAAAACTTAATTCATGTCTGTGATTCTTTTCCCGAAATGTATTAGTAACTAAATATATGTAGACAAAAAATGTATTTACCTTTATTATCTTAAAAAAGGACATGACCATTTAAAAAGGCGTATTAAGAACAGAGAATAGGGCTTTGGGAGGCTAGAACCTTCTGTGGTGAGCAACTTATATGCGTACTTGCTAAACGATATAAAATTTTGGAGAAATACCTAATTCGACTGTTTCGCCGTTGATCGAAGTTGAAAATTTGCATTCTCGCTTATGTTGAGACTTCTGGCAAAATCAGTTTTAAGGAAAGTCCTGTACAGTAGTTAGAGCATTGGGAAAAAATTTGTTCGCTGTAGATTTAGTAGTTTGGTGTCTGTGTTGATTCGTATAACAGTAAATATATTTTAATATTTATAGAGAAATAATTTCTATTTACTACCGCTGTTATCGGAAAATACCAACTGTTTCAATAGATAGACTCTGTGTGGCGACCGAATCCCTTAAACTAAACTCCTTTTTACTAAAATCTATGCCTATAAGTACAATTTTGTTAGTTCCCTAAATAAATATTGTTACCTACTATATTTCTTTCTTAGTCGTTATAAGGAAAAGGATCTCACCTCCCACCGTAATAAAATTTTTGAGGATGTGCTTTTGTAATGATCTTTTTATTTAGGAAGTTTAGTAAGAGATGCCAGTGTGGTCGCGGATCCAGTCCAAGTGGTAGGTGACGCGCTGGAATCCAGCGGGAGCACCCGACTGGCAGCCGTTGGAGGAGACGAAGTTGCTGACTCCCACCAGCTTGTTGCCGTCGTGTGTGACCAGAGGACCACCGGAGTCTCCTCCGCAGATGGACTTGCCGTCGACGGTGCGGGTGCAGATAGTGTTGTCGCCCACGCTGCCATAGGTCCAGTTGCACTCGTCGTTGTGGACAATCTGGAGGTCGACGCACTGCAGCCAGTCGGGCAGAGGACTGCCGTCGTAGGTGCCTCCCCATCCGCAAGCCACGGCCCACCACTCGTTGTAGTTGTTGTAGCGATCGTTGTAGCTGGGCAGCTCAACCTTGTTGACCATGTGCCAGAAGTCCACGTGGGGGATGCGGATCAGGGCGATGTCGGCGTTGGAGTGCTTGATGAAGTCGCCGTTTCCGACGGTGTGGGTGTACTGGGCGTTGGTGCGCCAGGTGGCTCCGAAGTAGACAATCACGGAGGCGGCGTCTCCGATGCAGTGCTCGGCGGTCAGGACCCAGGTGTTGCCGATGATCGAGCCACCGCACCACCAGCCTCCGCTGAAGCCAAGACCCACGGTGTAGGGAGCCTTGCCCTCGGGGGCGGCGTAGCCGTTGGTAATACGGCCTTCCATCTTAGTGGCCTTGGGCAGGTCCTTCACGAAGACCTTCTCGTCGAAGGCGGCGGCCGAAGCCACGGCCAGAGCCAGGATAGCTAGAAACACCTTCATGTCGATGATGATACTGAATTCTGCTCCCGGGGTCTCAGCTTTTATACGCAGTCCTATCTGAAGCTTAAAGTGGTTCGTAAATATCCCTTGAGAGGCCCATAAATGATTTCAGTGATAAGGAACCAAGACAGGAACTAATTTCTGTGGTCCCCACAAGTTCCATAAATCCGTGTTATCTATAATTATTGGAAATGCAGATTAGAAGTTAAACGTTGAAAAAATTTACAAATCTTTATGTACTTTTCATATTTATGGTGATCGCATTTGATTATAATGCACCGAAATGGGCAAAGTTTTTGGAAAGTAGACTGTCATTTTCGATTAGATTATATATCAACCTAGACTTCAGAGTCACCAAAGTCACTGGGGGTCCAGTGCGAATCTGTAAATTAAACGTTTGATTTTGCTTTAGTGTTACTATCTTTTTGATTTCAAAACATACATCAATCTATCGGATTTTATTATCTGATACAAGACTATTAATTATTAATCGAACGGAAGTTTCCATTTCAAAGGAACATCAGTAATTTAGATTATATAGTAACTATTTATTCAAGCACTTCTCTAGAAATGAATTAGCTGTTTTTTAAATCAGAGTTATATTTATCAGTTGCCATACAAATGATGTATTTGGGATTATAGGAATATGGAAAGTTTTATATATGTAGCGCAATCAGGTTTAATTGAGTTAATTTTTTTTGCCACACGTGCCAAAACTTAATCTTATCGAAAATAGGTTCCAAAAGTAAACAAATCCCTTGGTATCAATGGGAAGCAAAACTAACATATTTATGAATAGAGAACGGTCCAGATAAGAACTAATAGAAAAATGAAAGTGAATCGGAAATTTTACAATTTTTTTATCGATGGAGGATGCAATTATTTGATAGGATCTTTTAAGCCCCATAACCAATAAAGATTAATAATATTTTTTAATTTAAAAGCAAACACTTTTAAAAATCTTAAACAGACCGAAGATTTCTAAGTGTCTAAGTCATTTTCATATTAAAACCAAAAAGAAGGACAAGTATTGTTTCTGGTAGATTTTCAACAAAACGACGCCAAAAACAAACTTGATCCTCAAACCTAAGACTATTTATGTTTCTAAACATTATAATTGTAAATATTATATAAGCCACAGCCTAAAATATAAAAGCTAACCCAGTTAGGATCCCAAACCCGTTTCAAGAAGTATACTCCCTTACAAATAAATAAATCAACCTCTGGTTATATGCAAGACAGTTTATTTAAAAACCGAAACGAAGCTGCTTAGTAGGAGATGCCGGTGTGGTCGCGGATCCAGTCCAGGTAGCTGGTGACGCGGGTAAATCCATCGGGCAGACCCGAGGTGCATCCGTTGGCGGCCACGAAGGAGGTGACACCGACCAGCTTGTTGCCGTCGTGGAGGACCAGTGGGCCGCCGGAGTCGCCGGCGCAGGTGGACTTGCCGCCGGGGGTGGAGGTGCAGATGACGTTGTCGGTGACCACATCGGTGCCATAGACACTGGAGCACTCGCTACGGTCGATGATCTGGGAGTCCACGCAGTTCAGGTAGTCGGACACGCCGCAGCTATCGCAAGGCCTGCCCCATCCGGAGGCCAAAGCCCACCAGCCGGCGAAGCTGTTGTACCGCTCGTTGCCATTGGGCAGCTCTACCTTGTTGACCAGATGCCAGAAGTCCACGTGCGGGGTGTTGATCAGCGAGATGTCGTTGTTCAGGTTGTTGGTGTTGTAGTTCGAGTGCTGACGGAAGTTTCCGCTGCCCACGGTGTGGGTGTACTGGGCCTGGAGGCGCCACAGGGCACCGTAGTAGATGGTCACGGAGTCGGCACCGTGGGTGCAGTGGGCGGCGGTCACCACCCAGGTGTTGCCGATGATCGAGCCACCGCACCACCAGCCACCGCTGCCGCTGCTGAAGCCCAGACCCACGATGTAGGGAACCTTGCCCTCGGAGGCGGCATACCCGTTGGTGATACGACCCTCAATGGAACCGGATCCGGATCCCACGATGGCATCCTTCAGGGGCACAGGCTGCGCCTTCTGGGGAAGGGCGGCAGCAGAGGCAATGGCCACGGCCAGGACAGTTAGGAACAGCTTCATGTTGTTTTACTCGAGTACAACTGGATACTCCGGTTGACTGGCAGTGATTTATATACCCCCAATTCCACTAGAGATAGTCATATCGGTGGAGATGGAGATCATCCCTGCCACTCGAAAGTTCAGTCCACTTCGGCCGGGGCAATCTTATCAACTGAATTTCGCACGCCTCCAACATTTGGTACTATCATTACAGGGTACTCTTTTCCACTCCTCCACTTGCCACTCATTCATCAAAAGATTGCGCTGCCTTATCGACATGGACGTTCGGCCACTCGGAGCTGATCTCTTGATAAGTCCAGATAAGCGCCCATTCATGCCCTGAGCCACAACAAACCAGCTGATTGGAACACTCGAACAGAAACGCAGACAGATTAAATCCTTTGTAAGGCCATTAGTTCACAGGAAGTTTGGACAATCAAAGGAAATAAAATTTTAAAATTAACAGTAAAACATTATACATCTAGAACTTTATTTATAAAAAGTGAAGTATAGATGTGCGATTTTAAAGGTGGTTTCATAAATGTTAAGCCAATATCCATTTATTTTAACAAAAATGTAGGCAAATATGTGAAAATATGCATTATTAGGATAGCATCACCATTAAAGAATTGCATAAAATAAATATTTATTATAATAGATTTAAAACTGACTTACATTAATTGGAGTTAAACTGCATAGATACTAAATTTGTATACCATACAGTCATTATAGAAATTATGCACAGGTAGGCAAATTATAAATTATACATTTGTAGGATAGCTTCACCATTAAAGTATTACTTAAGTAATAATTATTTATTATAATAGATAATCTTCGAAATCTTGAGTTAAAGTCGTTTTTATACCCGTTACTCGTAGAGTAAAAGGGTATACTAGATTCGTCGGAAAGTATGTAACAGGCAGAAGGAAGCGTTTCCGACCCCACAAAGTTTATATATTCTTGATCAGGATCACTAGCCGAGTCGATCTAGCCATGTCCGTCTGTCCGTCTGTCCGTCTGTCCGGATGAACGCTGAGATCTCGGAAACTATGGGAGCTAGGCTGTTGAGATTTGGCGTGCAGATTCCTGAGCTTCTTACGCAGCGCAAGTTTGTTTCAGCACAGTGCCACGCCCACTCTAACGCCCACAAACCGCCCAAAACTGTGGCTCCTACAGTTTTGATGCTAGAATAAAAACTGAAATGTATTGTTCTCATCAATACCTATCGATTGACCCAAAAAAAAGTTTGCCACGCCCACTTTAACGCCCACAAACCGCGAAAATCTGTGACGCCCACAATTTTCATGCTAGATAAAAAATTTTAACTGAAATGTATTGGTCTCGTCGATACCTATCGATTGATCCAAAAAAAAATTTGCCACGCCCACTCTAACGCCCATAACGCTTAAATCTGTATACTGCCGGTAGGTGGTGCATTTTAATCTCGCTTTGCTGCTTGCATATCTCCATTTAGCTGAGTAACGGGTATCTGATAGTCGAGGTACTCGACTATAGCGTTCTTCCTTGTTTAAAATGTAAATGCTAAGAATTTTCTTATCGAGTTTTACTAGAAAAATCGACATTGACTCCAAAATTGTAAAACTCAGGATGAATATTTTTGTGGAAAGATTTGTGTATTCAACACATTGTTTTTGTGGAATTCAGAATTAAGAATATGACTCTTTTCACTAACAATTTCATTTTTTATTTATTAATCTTATCTTAACTAATAAGTGCCTGCTCTTACGTAACTATCCTTATAACACAGGTATTGCTTTTCCATCACTCGTTTATATCAAAGATTGTTTAAAAGTCCTAATACTTAAAACCTTCGGGTAGATAACCTATCAATCAGCCACTCCATTTTTCAGACAATGTTGTTCATAGCTCTTAAGCCATTGGCTTAATATAAACCTGTATAAAAACCGACAATACATTTTTTATGCATTTCATTTATTTAAAAAAAGTGATAATCGAGCTTAGTAGTAAGCGACGCCGGAGTTGTCGCGGATCCAATCCAGCTGGTTGGTGACACGAGTGAATCCGGAGGGCAGGCCAGCGGTGCATCCGTTGCCAGCGACCCAGGAAGTGACTCCCACCAGTCGACCGCCGTCGTGGAGGACCAGGGGTCCACCAGAGTCGCCGGAGCAGGTGGACTTGCCGCCGGAGGTGGACACACAGAGGATGCCATCGGGCTGGTTACCATAGGTGCGGGAGCACTCGGAGTTGCTGATGATCTGCAGGTCGACGCACTCCATCCAGTCGGGCTGGGAGCCGGCGGTGGTCAGACCCCAACCGCAGGCGACGGCCCACCAGTTGTCGTACATGTTGTAGCGATCGTTGAAGCTGGGCAGCTCCACCTTGTTGACCATGTGCCAGAAGTCCACGTGGGGGGTGCGGATCAGGGCGATGTCGTTGCCGTTCTCGTTGGGCCAGTTGTGGTTCTGGATGAAGTTGCCGCTGCCGACGGTGTGGGTGAACTGGGCGTTGGTGCGCCAGGTGGCTCCGTAGTAGATGGTCACCTGACTGGCGTCGTTGGTGCAGTGGGCAGCAGTGAGCACCCAATCGTTGGCGATGATCGAGCCACCGCACCACCAGCCGCCGTTGCCGCTGAAGCCAAGACCCACCGTGTAGGGAGCCTTGCCCTCGGTGGCCGGATATCCGTTCACAATGCGGCCATTGATCTTGGTGTCCTTGGGCAGATCCTTGGGGTGGACCTGCTGGACAACCTCGGCGGTGACGGCGGCCAGAGCCAGAGCCAAAACAACGAACACTTTCATGGCGAATGGATCACTTGTGCTCTCTTCCAGACTTCCCACTGCTTTTATTTCGCCCCCTTATCATTGTCTGGAGTAGCACCCACTCGGCGATGTCCTATCTGTATGGGTCCATCTCTGATACCCATGAAAATTAATTGATAACGCCCCTAGGAACATCTACATAGATAGCTGAATTTTAATTTCTAGCAAGGGGACCCATGGGAAAACCAGGTTAGCCGGAGTTCATACATATAGCCCTGCAGATATACCAATTTGCTAAGATTATTGCCCAGATTGACTTATCATTCTTTAGGCTGCTTAATGATATTTTTGAGATTTTTATTGATAAAATATTAAAGTGTTACTGATATGTTGCTAAAAAAACACCAAAGAATTTTAAATGTTTATAGAAAGCCTATGAATTGACAAATCGAATCTATTATATGATCGTTGTATCGGAAGAACAATAGATCCAGACTCAATTGTTCTTTCCTCTTTTAATAAACTATATTGGACTGTTATAAAACTTGCAGGAATTACCTTATCTGTAAATCTAACTTCCCGACAACAATTATTATTAATAGTTTATACATAGGTAGGCTGAATAATAAACCTCATAAAAACCGATATAGTTATTTTTCATGCATATATTTATTCCAAAAAGATTAATAGTAAGCGACGCAGGAGTTGTCGGGGGTCCACTCCAGCTGGAGCCAGCTTAAAAGTTATAACCTTTACCATATCTCCTTTAACCGTCCGTTCTACACTTTGAACGTAAATGTAACACATTTCTATTATAGGTAGCGACTTGGCCTTCCAGGTAGCTTCCTAAAATTTAATTCTCTATCGACTTATGCATATAAGGATTTAAAAAGGATCCTAGAACAGGACGAAAAAAAGGATTTAAAAAGTTACACCTATACAAAATATATGGAAACATATGGAATATAATGTATTTTTACTATGCTACCTGGTGTGTAGCATAGCGTGTGTGTGCGTTCAGGTACAGACCATGTTCTCTTTTGGCGTATTATATATTCTGCGTCGTTCTCGTTCTGTGCTTCAGTCGACCTGGTGAACGCTGAACATATAACACGCTAGTGCCAAATAAAGCTTTGCTTATAATGGATAACGAAGTGGAATTTGTTTACAACACAAGATTACCTGGAAGAGGTCCGAGCGTTGATTTTTATAACCGACTTTCTACGGCTTTGTTGAGTGATATTCGTCGTGAAAATACTGACGAAGATATCGATGAGGAAGTGGATCCATTTGGTGTCGACGATGATCAAGATGTTGGTTATGTGCCTGAGGAAGATGCATCCGATATTGAGCAGGACGAAGTAATCGAGCCAAATGAAATACTCGACAGTGACGAGGAAGTCGAAGACGATTCATTGCCTGAACCGAATGATAATTTTTTCTACGGCAGCGATGGAACAAAGTGGAAGAAAGATGAGCCATCTGCGTCTGTTCGTGTTCGTCAACACAATATCATGCGATTTCGCTCTGGGCCTAAACAGCAAAATTCCGTTCCCATTGAGGTATTCAAACAATTTTTTACACCCAATATTTCATTTATTATCATCACGGAAACAAATCGATATGCTAGAGACGCCGATCAACAATGGAATGAAGCGCATCCTAATTCAAAACAAAGAATTTGGATTGATTTGACTAGCACTGAGCTCGATGCATTCATCGGTATTCTTTTGGCTATGGGTGTAACACACAATAATACGCAGAAAGCGGCAGTTTTGTGGCGTACGAATGCTTTGCCCATCTTTCGAGCAGCGGTGTCGTATCATCGATTCAGGATTTTGACACGATATGTTCGTTTTGATAACGGTCGAACACGTGAATTTCGCCAAAGAACCGACAAAGCTGCGCCCATTCGAGATATATGGAATTTCTTGAATGAAAACCTCAGAGATAATTATGATCCGCATGAAAATATTACGAGCAACTAATTTCATATCGCGGCCGAACTAAATTCACGAAATATATTCCATCAAAACCGGCGAAATACGGCATAAAAGTCTGGTGGGCATGTGACTCGAAAACCAAATATCTCTTGCAAGGAAAGTTATATTGTGGCCGATCAGAAGGAGAAGAGCGTGAAGTTGATCAAGGGGAAAATGTGATGATACAGCTATCCAACCGATATGCGAACAGTGGCCGTACTATAATAGCCGATAATTTTTTTGTCACATTGAATGGAGCTAGGCGCCTCGCTTCCATTGGACTTGCATTAGTTGGCACCATACGAGCCAACAAACGCTGCGTTCCACCAGAAATGAGGAAGGACAATTCTCGTCCTGTGCTTTCGTCGTTTTTTGGTTTTCACGAAAACCTTGTTTCAATCTGCAGCTATGTGCCGAAAAAGAATAGAGAAAATCATTTTTCGGCAAACCAATAAATATTCCTGGGAACATTGTTGTCAACCAACCAGCTGGTGCCGACACACTCACAGCGAAGAGAGATTGTCGTCTTTGTTTTCAAGGAGGCGATAGACTTCGTCGAAAACTTGAATCAAAACGGGAAAAGGAACCAAAAACCGAGAATTTCGGATGCTCAACTTTCGATAGTACTACGGCTATCAAGCTGGAATGACTATGAACATTGTATCAACAATATAGTCAGGGAAAAGTATTTAGAGGGATCAACAATACAGCCATTTATAATTATTCACGCATCGTCTGAGCGACAGCCATTGAAAAGTATGGATCTTTAAGATATTTGTGGTGCATGAGGTTTGAGGCGAAACCAAGATTTATTTTCACAATGTAAATTCAAGAATTTATCCTCCCCATACTTTAGCCATTAAATGTCAAATTACGTTTGCAAAGTTTCTGACGGACCATGCCAAATCTATTGAGCCGTATTTAAAACTTACATCAAAAGAGCAAAGTATTTTGAATAATAATCTTGCATTAGAAATAAATAACAAGGGAGAACGCTATAGTCGAGTACCTCGACTATCAGATACCCGTTACTCAGCTAAATGGAGATATGCAAGCAGCAAAGCGAGATTAAAATGCGCCACCTACCGGCGGTATACAGATTTAAGCGTTATGGGCGTTAGAGTGGGCGTGGCAAATTTTTTTTTGGATCAATCGATAGGTATTGACGAGACCAATACATTTCAGTTAAAATTTTTTATCTAGCATGAAAATTGTGGGCGTCACAGGGATTTGCGGTTTGTGGGCGTTAAAGTGGGCGTGGCAAACTTTTTTTTGGGTCAATCGATAGGTATTGATGAGAAGATTACATTTCAGTTAAAATTTTTTATCTAGCATTAATACTGTAGGAGCCACAGTTTTGGGCGGTTTGTGGGCGTTAGAGTGGGCGTGGCAGTCTACTGAAACAAACTTGCGCTGCGTAGGAAGCTCAGGAATCTGCACGCCAAATCTCAATAGCCTAGCTCCCATAGTTTCCGAGATCTCAGCGTTCATCCGGACAGACAGACGGACAGACGGACAGACGGACAGACGGTCAGACGGACAGACGGACATGGCTAGATCGACTCGGCTAGTGATCCTGATCAAGAATATATATACTTTATGGGGTCGGAAACGCTTCCTTCTGCCTGTTACATACTTTCCGACGAATCTAGTATACCCTTTTACTCTACGAGTAACGGGTATAAAAACCATGGGAGTGTAAATACCTTTAAATTTTATAACCAGTTAGAATATAAGGGCACTACTTATAAAATTAAATATTATTTAGGTTTAAATATGAATAATTTTATGTTATTTAATTTATCAAGCAATTTCTAATTCACAAAATAAATGTAAGTAAAGTTTATGTTTATTGTGAAAAAATTGAAGATCAGGTCTCCGAAGTCTAGGTTAATATATAATCTAATCGAAAATGACAGTCTACTTTCCAAAAACTTTGCCCATTTCGGTGCATTATAATCAAATGCGATCACCATAAATATGAAAAGTACATAAAGATTTGTAAATTTTTTCAACGTTTAACTTCTAATCTGAATTTCCAATAGTTATTTGTTTTATTTTCTTTGATAGTACGGATTTATGGAACTTATGGGGACCACGGAAATTGGTTCCTGTCTTGGTTCCATATCACTGAAATCATTTATGGGCCTCTCAAGGGATATTTACGAACCACTTGTAGCTCCAGATAGGACTGCGTATAAAAGCTGAGACCCCGGCAGCATAATTCAGTATCATCATCGACATGAAGGTGTTCCTAGCTATCCTGGCTTTAGCCGTGGCTTCGGCCACCGCCTTCGACGAGAAGGTCTTCGTAAAGGACCTGCCCAAGGCCACCAAGATGGAGGGTCGTATCACCAACGGCTACGCCGCCCCCGAGGGCAAGGCTCCCTACACCGTGGGTCTTGGCTTCAGCGGAGGCTGGTGGTGCGGTGGCTCGATCATCGGCAACACCTGGGTCCTGACCGCCGAGCACTGCATCGGAGACGCCGCCTCCGTGATCGTATACTTCGGAGCCACCTGGCGCACCAACGCCCAGTACACCCACACCGTCGGCAACGGCGACTTCATCAAGCACTCCAACGCTGACATTGCTCTGATCCGCATCCCCCACGTGGACTTCTGGCACATGGTCAACAAGGTTGAGCTGCCCAGCTACAACGATCGCTACAACAACTACAACGAGTGGTGGGCCGTGGCCTGCGGATGGGGAGGCACCTACGACGGCAGCCCTCTGCCCGACTGGCTGCAGTGCGTCGACCTCCAGATAGTCCACAACGACGAGTGCAACTGGACCTATGGCAGCGTGGGCGACAACACCATCTGCACCCGCACCGTCGACGGCAAGTCCATCTGCGGAGGAGACTCCGGCGGTCCCCTGGTCACACACGACGGCAACAAGCTGGTGGGAGTCAGCAACTTCGTCTCCTCCAACGGCTGCCAGTCGGGTGCTCCCGCTGGATTCCAGCGCGTCACCTACCACTTGGACTGGATCCGCGACCACACTGGTATCTCCTACTAAACTTCTTAAATAAAGAGATCATTTGAAAAGCATACGTTTATACGATTTTGTTACGATCATTTGTTTTACAATTTTAAAATGGTTTTCAAGATTATTGGGAAGCCATGAGCCAAGAAAAAGTCTAACTAACGAAACACTCGGGGTCACCTAACCGTCAAAATGTAAATTTGAAATCATTTCTACATAACTTCTACACATATGAAAAATACCAAAAGAAATACCGTAGACGAGTAAAATACTAATATTAGAAGGGCCACTCTAGAAAGCTAGTCGCTTTGAATGGCGAAAGCACAGCTGATTGCTTGCAAGTAAACAACACAACTGCGTTCTCGCCAAGCACCTGAGGATTGCGTTGGAGTGCTCCGTTGGTGGGCAGATCACGGAACTAGAGGCGGCAGCATGTGCACTCTGCATCCCGAGGAGGAGGACCACCTGGCGGCCATGGCCAGCGGTGGCCCCCCACCGAGAACACCCAGCCTGTGGGCCGTCAACCTGAACGAGTGCCAATATCACGGCGCTTTCGCTCCAGCCGATCATCGTGGAGTGCAAGGGTGTGCGCGTCCGGGTGTACAACGGAGGGTTAAATATTGGCTTAGTACAATATTTTATATTTTAGTATTTACGCGGTAAATTTTTAGTATCGACGCACCTGGTCACACTGAGCCATGCATTTGTTTTTGTTTGGTTATTCCGCCAAATTTCGTCAATATCAATATCTGTCGCAGCATGTCCTCTTGCAATTCTTTCGAAATAGCGGAGAAGAAGCGCATTGCGCTGGCCAAGCTGCAGGCCAAGAAGTCCCAGCTGCTGGCCAGTGCATCCGCCGGAAAGTCAGCCCTTACTCCAACAAGCGCGCAGCAACAAGTGCCGAATGGAAAGCCAAAACCCAATCAACCGCAGGCCAAATCCCCATTGAATTTCTATCGATCTCCGCCTGCAGCGCAGGAGAAGATCAGCAGGACCGCATCCACTTCCGGTGACAACAAGAGCTCCGCCTTCCTGAACGCTCTGAAGGCAATCAAACAGACCTCCGCCCGGGAATTGTCACGAGGAGCCGCACATCCCTACCATCGGCCAAATGGAGAAAATGGACGAAACAAGCCGACTCTCTCACTTGCTCCGGAAAAGGAGAAACCGATGGCTATGCTACTCGGTAACTCCATTACCTGCAATCTCTTCATGGTCAGCACGCATCGGTTTGCCGCCCAAACCTCGGGATATCATGAGAAGCTCATAGCCGTGTTCAAGAACATGCCCACCAGGTCCTACGAAAGCCAGAACCGCATCTGGAGTTTCGACCTCTCGGACTACCAATCCCTGCACACCCATGCGGCGGATCTAAAGCCACATGTCCACATGGTTGGTATTCCAAAGAAGGTGCAGGATCTCTGCCGGCAGCCGCCAACAGTTTCCGAAAGAAGTGTTTTGTCTTCCATAGAACCCAAGCTGGCTGATAAGCTGTTGCCCTTCCAGCAGGATGGGGTGTGGTAGGCTTTTAATTGACCTCTATGATCCTCTACCTGCAAATAACTATGTTTTTTCCAATTTCAAGCTTTTCCATTGCCCAAAAGGGCCGCATTATGATCTGCGATGAAATGGGTCTGGGCAAAACTTATCAGGCATTGGCTGTGGCCGACTATTTCAAGGATGATTGGCCCTTACTCATCTGCACCACAGCCTCTACAAGAGACAGTTGGGCGAAACACATCGTGGAACTGTTGCCCAAGGTGCCCATCCACTACATCCAGGTGCTCAATAACAATCAACAATATGTGGGCGAATCCCAGGTGCTTATCACCAGTTACAACATGATGGAGCGTCATGAGGACAAGCTGCTGCAGCGCAGATACGGCTTCATCATCTTCGACGAATCGCACACGCTGAAGAACAGCAAGGCCAAGTGCACAGTGACGGCCAAGAGGCTTACGGATCAAGCCAAGCGGGTGGTTCTGCTGTCCGGAACTCCAGCTCTCTCCCGCCCCTTGGAACTCTTCACCCAACTCCAGTTGGTGGATGGCAAATTCATGAGTTTTATGGAGTTCAGTATGTAACAGATTTTATTTCTTTCATTCAAGTCTTTAAAACAAAACATTTAAAGCCACTCGTTACTGTGATGGCAAGCAGTCGACATTTGGCTGGGATGCCAACGGCCAATCGAATCTAGAAGAGCTCAAGGTTATACTTACTCTCAAATACATGCTGAGGCGAACGAAAAATGAAGTGTTGCCTCAACTTGCTGAAAAAAATCGGTGGGTTTTGGAAACCCTTTTTAAAATTATAGCAGTGTATCCTAACATGTCCTTGTTCATCTGCAGTGAAACGGTGGTCCTGGATCCCGCCTTAGTCTGGACCAACGATGAGACCAAGGATACCTTAGATGCCTTTAACAAAGAGCTAAAAACATGCAAGGGCAGGGCCATGGAGGAGATTCTACTACGTTTCTATGCACGCACTGCAGAAGTAAAAGCCAAAGCTGTGTGGTAATTTAATATTCATTGTGATAAAGAACATATTATTACTGATTATACACATTTATAGCGCCTATCTGAAAACCTTGGTTAAGGAGCAGAAAAAATTCATAATTTTTGCCCATCACCGGGTCATGATGGATGCCATAAGTGACTGCCTCTGTGCGTTGAAAGTTCAGTACATACGCATCGATGGACAGACGCGTAGTGATCTCAGGTCGGATTTTGTAGACACATTCCAGAAGAAAAAGAGTTGCAAAGTGGCCCTGCTCTCCCTTAAAGCCTGTAATTCAGGGATCACACTAACTGCAGCGGAGATTATCGTGTTTGCTGAGCTGGACTGGAATCCTAGTGTTTGTTAAGACATATTTAACCTGGAAATCCCTTTGATGTAATTTGTATATACCTTTTAGACCTTGGCCCAGGCTGAGAGTCGCGCCCATCGAATTGGCCAAACTAAAAATGTGATTTGTCGCTATTTGATGGCCCATAATACGGCAGACGATATCATCTGGAACATGCTGAAGAACAAGCAGGAGGTGCTCAGTAAAGTGGGCATCTTTGCCGAGAATCTTCAAAAGGCTACCCACACAGCGGCACCCACTTCGGTAAGATCGATATTGAAGGCTTGATTAACTAAATCTGTTGCTAACTTTGTTCTTTTAAAGTCTCACAAAATCGAGGAGTTCTTCTCGCCCGCTAAACCTGCCGCATCTCACTCGGAAAAGGGTGGCATTAGGCAGTACCTTCCTCCAGCTCCAGCCAAAGCGCCTAGTGAACTGAGCAATAACACCGAAAAAGCCAAAGAAAGCAATGCTGAGTCGGATATCGCGGCCTTTTTAAACGATGATGATGATGAGGCTTTTATGAATTTAGATATTTAGTTAAAGCAATTAATTTTTGCATTGTTTGATGAATTACTTGAAATAAATTAAAGTTAAGAATATGAAAAATAACGTAATAATAACTATAGGATTACAACCCCAATCTGCGCATGATCCACTGGTCAACAAATCTTCTCAGGCATCCGGTTTTTAGTGCCCTGGCAACAGGCAAACAAACACTCAAGCAAACCTTTTTACTTGTATCAAATAAATAAATACACTAATAAGCTAACGTTTTGTAAACTGTAAGCTAGATATAATGGACACCTCGCAGCTGGAATCTGATCTACTGGGCGAAGAGGAGGAGCTGGGAGATGAGCACGACGTATCCTTCCCCCGCGATATAATCAGCGTAGAGTAAGTACAAACTTGTTAAAGATTTGCTCATGCTGATTGTTTCTTGTTCCAGACATTCCTTCGGCTACGACTGCAAGAAGCTCTTCAACATGGTACTGGTGAACGCGGATACGCTGGTCTTTGCCTCGGGAAACTTCCTCAACTACTTCAGCATTTCTCGTCAGGAGATTTCCTTCCAGGAAACGGTCTATGGCTGTGGTGTAGGGTTTATCACGGTGAGTTTTGTTTTGGTTATCCCTAGAATGTTATTATAATTGTTGGAGACTTTCAGAAAAACGAACACCCGGACTACACTGGCCTCTTTACGGTGGGCGAGAACGGACCTTGTCCCACGGTTTTCATCTACGAGTATCCCTCGTGTGAGGTCCGTGTGAAGCTTTTGAATGCAGCCAAGGCCTGTTTTACGGCGGGGTCTTATAACAAGACTGGGGAGTTGTTCGCCTCGCAGGCTGGCTATCCGGATTTCATAATAACCATCTGGCGCTGGGAGAAGGCAGAGGTCGTCCTTCGCGCCAAGTCCTTCCAGAGCGACATCCTGTTCGTCCATTTCTCGGAACACAACCCCATCCTGCTATGCTCTTCGGGCCTGAGCCACATCAAGTTCTGGAAGATGGCCAATACCTTTACGGGCTTGAAGTTAAAGGGAGATCTGGGACGCTTCGGCAAGACTGACTTCAGTGATATCTATGCCATGTACATGCTGGCGGATGAGAATGTGATCTCTGGCAGCGATTGGGGCAACATGCTGCTCTGGCAGGCGGGACTGATTAAGTTTGAGATCTGCCGGAAGGGTCGCAAGCCCTGCCATACGAAACCCATAACCAGGATCACCATGAAGAACGGTGAGGTGACCACGGTTGGCATGGATGGCTATGTGCGCGTTTGGTATTGGGAAACGGTGGATTTGGCCGATCCCCCCGAGGATGATTTGTTTGTGGAGATCGATCCGATCTACGAGTTTAAGATTGCCGACGTGGAGCTGCGTTGCATGCAGAAGATCAATCCATTTGACGAGTCAGACTTTACCCACTACGCCCAGGATGGAAATGGTGGGATTTGGTTTTGCGACATCAACACCTACGATGTCCCACAGAAACCGAGGAAGCTTTATTCCTGTATTGGCGGCAAGGTACTCACCTCCCAGATGTCCCCGGTGTCGCCGCACTTTCTTTGCATGTCTGAGAGCGGTAAGCTGTTTGTCTATCAATACGAGGAGCAGCGCCTTATCCTGGAGAAGCAGTTCCCGGCGGACGGGGTCGATGTAATCTGGCTAGATACCCAGATCTCGGTGAAGGGGACCGAAATAGTGGCTGTCTTCAAGGACGGTATCCTGCGGCAGATGTATCTGGACCTCAGCAATCCGGAAAGGCCAACCATGACGCGTGTGAGATCCATTAAGGCGCACACATCTCCCATCACCAGACTCACCGTCAACCGAGACAGCACGCTGCTCCTTACCGGCAGCGCCGACAAGAGCATTTTCATCTACAAATTGAGCCGGGATGCGAATCAGCTTGTGGACTTGCATCCCCTGGGATTCGTGCAGTTTGCAGCGATCCCCAACTGCTTCTACTGGCACGATACCGAGCCTACTGTGGTCCTGGTGGGATGCAAGAGTGGCGAGTTGTACGAATATAATATACGCACTGAGGTTACCGCAGAAGAGACCTACCTGTCCTACAACATAACCGAGAAGTCGCGCATGCGCAGTACGAAATTCGTTTCCATCAAAAGCCGTATCCGTCGGGAAATCCATCGGGAGAACGTGAAGAAGCGCAAGGAACGTAAGCGGGAGCGCAAGATGAACGAGGTCGAGAAGCTGAAGAAGGCCAATCCCGGCCTGCAGATCGATATGGAGTCAGCACTAGCCGATTCCGAACCGGATGAGGAGGAGGAGCCGCTTCACATACCGGCCGTGCCCAACCCTATTATCTGGCTGCGCTACACAGTAAGGGATACCATTTGGGTGTCCATGGCGGGCTATGATGCTGGGTACATCTATGAGCTGGAATTTAATGCGCCGGAGCCCACTCGGGCCACCATCATAGCGGAGGGGGATGATATCGAGATACACTCTTACTGCATTATGTAAGTTTTCTGTCTCCAAAATAGTAAAGCTACAGTATTCCAGTTTTTACCACATATATCTACTATCGTATCGGATTCTGCTAAGAACTAATTATAAATATAAATAACTCGTCTTGTGTTATCCAAAATTCTTATATGCTTTTTACCTCCTTTTCCCCAGCGATGACTTCATCATTTTTGGCCTCGTCAACGGACGCCTTCGAATAAATCGCATCAACCCGGACAACTTTACAGACCTCTCCGAGTACCGCGTATATCCGTTGCATGATGCCCTGAAGGGCGTCATTCCCAAAATCGATACTAGTTACAATGGTGAGCACATTCTCACTGTTGGCTACGATGGCAACATGTTCCTTCACAAGTGGAGAGGCCCGAAAATAACTAAGGACAAGCGTCGGGATAAACTGCCGCCCCTGCCGGAGGGAGTTAGTCATGTTCAGGACATCGAAGATGAGGCACCATCCCTGGAGCAGGAGAAGATCAACGCGGAGCTGCGGCGCCAGCAGGAGGCGGCTGAGGCGCATGACCGCGATGTCCTGAATAAAATTGGACAGCTGCAAAACGTGTACTTCGACATTATCAAGCACAACGAGGAGCTGCCTACGGGTCTGCGAGCCAAGGACACGGATTTGCTGCTGGACGAACGTATTACACGACAGATCAGGGATGAACTGCAGGCAGAGTTGGATGATGTTCGGGAGGATCTGGCTTACGACCTGGAATTCGCCCAGGTGGGACACTCAAAGTTGTACAATCATTTCCTCAAGGAGCTGGTTCAAATCCCCTTTACCGTCAATCCCTTGCGGTGAGTGAATCCAATCATATCAATCTATGGTATTTACATTTGTGGTTGCAGTGCCAAGGTTCCGGGCGTGTCCACATTTCGTCTCCAGGCTCTGGGAGAGGAGCATGAGCAGATTAAGAGGGACATAGAAGAGCGTTTGAAACAGGAACACGATATGGGGTAAGTGAGACATTTCAGGGATCTCATCTTGGTACAACAAACTCCACACGAAATATATTACTTTTGAATCCACGACAAGCAGCCTTTACAGAGAGGATCGGGTTCCTGAACAGCCGGAAGTGTAAGCCTTATATTCCTTTAAACATTGTAGCACCTGCACCTATGTATATTCCAAAAATACTCACTATACCACAAGTTTTTAATATTTTTTACTAAGGATTTATTCAACAAGCTTATTTTCGTACTTACTAATGCCTAACTGTATTTATCATAGACTCCATGACCTTGTGGTGGCCGAAAGATCAGACGAATCCATTGGAGAACCCCCGCCGGAATCATTCTTCTTTGGCAGGGATCCCAAGAGCATCGAACCGCGCTTTAGCAGGAAGATGATGCGCCTCCTGGTTCGCTACCGAAAACGTCAGCTTTTCGAAGTGCGCCGCATCTTTGACTGGGACAAGCTGGAGCGCCAGAAGCCAGACCCCAATCGCAACCATCCGGATGACGATGCTCAAATCGAGGAGGCCAAGCGCAACCTGGGTGACTTCAAGCTCAAGATCGGAGCAGACTATGAGCCCAAGTCCACGGAGACGCTTACCCAGAAGTACATAGAGGTCGTGGAGTGCCGCGAACAGTACTTTGGGATGGTGGACGCGTTCAACCAGATGGTGATGGATCTGCGCGAGCGCAAGGGTGAACTGGAACAGTTCATCAATGCAAAAAGGAAGCGTCTGGAAGTGATCCATAGCTACCTGCCCGAGTCAGATCGCCGGCCCTTGGAACCGATGCAGGAAACGGATATGGACCTGGAGTACCCAGAACTAAATCTTATCGAGCACTATACGCCCGGCTGTGGTGGGGAGATTGACGACATCCTCACCCTGGAGCGCTCGGTGGACGAGGTTGGTTACAGATCGTAATCATATATTGATTTCATAATAATTCAATCATGTCATATTCTCAGGTGATCGCCATGCGTTCGCCAATGAAGTCGATGGCCAGTCTGAGCCTCTTCAGCATGCACGGATTGGATGTGCCGGAATTGCACGAATACACCGCCTTCAATATGCTACAGATCTCGATGCTAGAGAAAAGTCTTCCCAATGCCGAGCTGACCGAGGAGCTGCTGAAACTGCCGCCCATCAGTGATCCGGCCTACTTTGAGACAAATGAGGATGGCGAGGCACCCTACATGATGGAGACTCGCCATCGATGGCTTCGCCAGCTCCTTCTGGAGCAGGCTGAGATTCATACGGAAGTGGACGAAGAAGTGCGGCAATTCGATAAGGCTGTAGAAAAGCTCCAAGTGCGACGGTTCCACGTGAAGCTGGACGCCGAGTTCATGAACGCCTACATGAACAGTCTGAACCAGGAGCTGTATATCCTGCGCGACAGCGAGGAGATAGAGACGCAACTGCTCCTGAACGCCAAGACGGCGATGAGCACCCGGAACGAGCTGCAGGTGGTCATCAATACCACCAATAGGCAGTTGGACGAGCTGAGGCGAAACATAGACAAGCTGGGTGAGCAGATCATAGCAGTCCAGGTACTCTTCTCGACCACAGTCAAGGGTCATAAGTTCTTCGACTTCCTGCGACGCATCTTCAAGAAGAAGTGGCGTCCACCAAAGGTGGCCAGGGGAGATGACGAGTCTTCTTCCTCATCCTCCTCGTCTTCGTCCTCCAGCGAAGACCAACAGGCGGACAACAAAAGTCTCGACTCACTGGACATGACCACCATCCGACTGGACGAGGCCACGTGTCCCACCGGCCTGGATCGATCCCTCTACGACCTGGCTTTCGCCATGCGCTCCGATCGCCACGAGCTGGAGCGAAATGTGCGTGATCTTCAGCGGGATGTGGAGAACAAGCGCAAGGAGATCGCCGAGATGCAGATCAAAATGAAGTATCACGAGGAAGTGTACCAGCGCGAGAAGAATGCCTTGTTGCAGTTTCGGGTTGGTAGTTCTACAGAGGATTTTTATTCTAGTTACTAATGTATGTATTTCCCCATCCAGCGTAATCGCCAGCAGGAAGTCAACAAGGTCAACATCAGCGCCATCCTGCGTATGGACCAACTGCAGCATTTTTACGAGGGCGATGACTACCGGGATCTGTCCAAAGCCATACTCTTTGACGCCGATATGCTGGTGGATCTGCGCCGACGGGCGGATCAACTAAGTGAGGAGACTTTGGCCACCAAGCGCTGGCATCGCATAAACTTCATCCACTTGAGGCGCATGAACACAGACATTAAGTTCATGCGATTCGAGATAACGCGCCTGGAGGAGGAGATCCGTCAGGCCATGATGAAGAAATTCGGCATCATAGTCAATCTGGATGAGTTGGAGGAGGAGGTCCTGAGACGTTACATCTTTGAGCTGGAAACCAACGCTGAGGATGAGCTGATGGCCCTCGAAAAGGAACTGTTGGAGAAGCAGGTATATAGTTCTTATAGATATATTATTTGTTGGGAATATAGTATCCTAACCTTTTGTTATAGAAAGAACTCTCCCGCTGCGAGGAGGAACTGGTTCTGGAGACCCAAAACAATACCGAAAAGGTTAACATAATGACGGTGCTCCGTGAGGAGAACAACATCCTCCGCTCTCTGTTGGACATTCAGAACCGCAACTATGCAAAGTGGAGCAATCCGAATGTACTGAATTTGTCGTATGACATCGAGAAGTTAAGGGGCATTGAGAAATCCTTGATGGAGCAGATCGAAGTGGGTACTGTCTAGGTTGTTTCCTCCCAGATCCTTAAAATTGTATATTTAACAGTGCCTGGAGCGGGAGATCTGTGCGCTGAGGCTAAAGTCCAAGCCTCTCCAGATTAATTACGAGTTTGAGGTAGATCCCAATGCGCAGCCGCAGGTGACTAACGAAATTCTTCCAAACGACGATGTGATGGTGTGCCCGGCCATCCTCAATGTGGATGCCTATATGTTGCCGCCCATGCCCGATGAGTTCATCATGGATCGCGTTCAGACGATCGTTCAGAAGAGCTTCAATCGCTTCTTTGGGAAGAGCACCACTCCGGAGAATGTGCGCAAGTTTGCCCTACGATCTTCACTCTATTTGTGCCAGGCCGCCTACAGTTTCCAGGTTACTGGAACTCCCTAAAAAATTATTACTTTATCCTACTAATAACCATCTTTAAGGGCCGCTATACGGATCGCATTGCTGAGTGCATTACGGAGCACCTGCAGACTATTGTGCCCAAGAAGTACTTCATTCACATCAGTGGCGAGGAGCTTCGCAAGCTCTTCAACGAGGTGGTGGCCGTCTTCGACTACGAACGCTCCGATGTGAACACCGAGGAACTCATTTCAGGGATCTTCGACCATGCCAAGGACTCGCTGTGTGCCCATATTCACCTGGGCGATGCCGATGTTGTTAACCGCACCCACTTCATCGTGGCACACATGTTCAAGGAGCTCATCGAGGTTCTACCCTTGGAGGAGTTCCAATCCGACGAGACTCTACGCATGATCGTGGACGTATTGGAGCGTGAGCCGATGGTGGATCCTCGAGCCATCGGCGTGGAGCAGCTCATCGAGAGCACGCTGCAGCACGCCCACGAGAATTTGCTCGACGGGATTACGGCGGTTCCGGTTCGCAAGCTGGGCAGCTCCATTCAGAGGGACCTGATCAAGCGGCGCCAGTACAAGCAGCCCAGCTGCGAGTCCCCGATGTCGGTGCGGATCGCCACGAAAAAGCCGGGTCACAGCAGTGGGCTTCCCTTCTAGCGTATTAGTTTTTTATTGGAATGTATTCGGAAAATTCAAATACATTTTTTATAAGAGTATTTAGCGGTTGTCATTTCGAAAACGTAAATCCTATTTCAGTTTTTAAAAAATGTATGATATGAACATATATGATGTGTATGTGTATTTTATTAAATTATTTAATAATTTAAGTTTTCTTTAACTATTTTGTTATTTTAATGATGACTGTAAAAAATTGAAGTTTAAACTCATTTATTAGTTTTTTAGTCTGCATTATATATAACATTTTAGATACCTAATAAACTGTAGTTAAGAATTAATAAATCTGGTTTTTAAATTTGTACAATTTATGTAACGACAAAAATGACAAAATTTCTTTTTTTATAATGTTTGCAAAAAGCTAGTTTTGGCGGGAAAAGTGAAAGGCAGCACTGATTTAAGGCGCCTGGCAACCCTGTTTCTGAATCAGAGAAACTGCAAGTAAACAAAGTGCGACGAAAATAAATATAAATACATACATCATGTCGAAGCCATCAAAATCGGGTCCACCAAGTGACGGAAGTGCTCCTGCATACGATTACCGCAATGCCGGCGATGCCATGGCCATGGTATAGAGCTAAATTGATAAGTAATGAAAAATCCCCTTAAAATCGACCGTTTTTCAGAGAGCTCCTCCGCCAACCTACGAAGAAAGCCAGCGAAATGGCGGCACTGGGGCTGGTTATGGATATCAACAAGGAGGAGCTGCCCCACCCAGCCAGAATCAGTACTACGGGATGATCAGCCACCAGCAGCAGCAGATGCCCTTCAACGGACAGCAGCCCAACTACGGGATGCACCATGGCAATGGCTACGGATTTGCTGGACCCAGCACGTCAGCAGGAGCTGCTGCTGCACAGGTCCTCCACTTGGACTCGCGCGCCGAGGTGAGGACAAATGCCACAGGAAACGTGGTCATACCGCCTCCTCCGCCTGGCTGCCTGCCCACACCGGCCCAGTGGGCAGCCATGCAGGGCCAGCCCGTGGTCCTCAAGCAAAAGAAGCGTTCCTTTTTCTAGATTACTCCAGGCGGACATCATTTACTCGAATATAACTATGTTGGCCCCTTAAATGTTATAAAATAAACGATGCGATCCGTTTCGTTTCGTCCTCGCGTATATTTGAAAATTCCCTAAGCAAACGAACATGGCGCCGGTGAAAGGGTTAGGTTACAGTCCACCGGCTTTGATCCTCCTACTGACTACTGGGTGTGCACACTACTCGAAGATGTTCTCAAAGTATGTACTATCGAATGTCTGGACACGCACGAAACCATCTTCTCCGCCCGAGGCGTAACTCTTGCCGTCCGGATGGAAGGCCAAACTGTTGATGGGGCCGAAATGGCCCTTGAGTCGGGCGAACTCCTCTTCGTAGATTAGGTGGAAGAAGCGCGAGTCGAACTTGCCGGCCTTCGTGGATGTGGTGGTCACCTCCATGGCATCCTGACCGCCGCCAAGCACCACATGATCCAGGATAGGGCTAATGGCAGCCGAGTTTACAGGTCTCTCCGTCTTGTAAGCCTTCAGGCACATGAGGGACTCGGAGTCGAACAGCTTGGCGGTGGTGTCCTTGGAGGCGGTGACAAACATAGTGCCATCCTTGCTCATCTGCATGTCGTTGATGCCTGCAGTGTGATCCGATCCAGAGTCGACCACCTTCTGGCCCTTGCGGATGTCCCAGATAGCAATGTTTCCATTGTCGTGACCTTGAAGAAACAATAGTTAGAAGATGCTATGGTAGATTAAAATGGGTTAGCCAACCTGTGATGATGGTCTCATCCAGAGGACCCCACAGCATCGAGGTGATCTTGGACTCGGTCATCGGGATGCGGAGCGTGGGCTCCTGCTCCGACAGCGAGGAGTCGGCGTTGCGCACATCGATCAGGAACAGCTCGCAGTTCTGTCCCATCGCTTTGTCCGTGGAGTAGGCGGCCTGGTTGCCCGAGAAGCTGAAGTGGCTGGTGCGCACCGACGACTTGGTGGGAATGGAGGCGATGATGGTGCCGTACTCGACGTCCCAGATCTTGGTGGTCATGTCACCGGCGCCGGTAATGAGCTTGCGGCTCTCCCAGTCGACGTCCAAGCACCAAACCGCACCCTGGTGACCATCGTAGGTGCCCAAACGCTCGCCGTTCAGCGAATACCAAACATTGGGCTTCTGATCCTTGGAGCAGGAGAACAGCAGGTCACCCTCGCGGTTGTACTTGATTTGCGTTATAGAACGCTCGTGGCCCTGGAGCATCAGCGGACGCTGAAGAGGTACGAATAAATTATTAACAATTTTAGCAACAATTTCGACCGCTTTTAAGGTTATGTTTGGCCCGGAGTTTCCACACGATTTTCGCACTCTGCAAATCGTTGGAAGTCCCGGGCAAGCTCTGCAGTTTGAAGTTAGCTGTGATATCCTCAGCTAGGCACGCACCATTTTGTATTATATTGTTATTTGTTGCGAGAAAACTAATATTTTTGCAACAACATCCACGCAGCACTACACGCCAAAAGAGCAAGAAATGTAGCCCGTTCGTGGAAATGGGTATTTTTGGCATATATCAGACTGGTCACACTATCGAATACAAAAAAGGAGAACACCCCAATTATTTATTATTACATCAAGCAAAAAAAAGTTATTACTATGATTTAATTAAAATTATTAAATTATATTTAGTTTTTTTACGAGAATAAGTAAGTTCATTTAAAAACTAGATAATTGTGTCAAAAGTTGTGTTCTCTGTGTATTTTTTTTGGTATATTCTGCCGCTAGTATTTTTCGTGGTACGGTACTGCCAATCATCTGTTTACCGGAATCGGCTTTGTGATTCATATTTTTGGGAAGAAAAGTGCTAGGAAACGAGCGAAAACATGGCCAAAAACACCTCCAGCAATGCGTTCCGCAAGATCGATGTGGACCAGTACAACGAGGACAACTTCCGGGAGGATGACGGCGTGGATAGCGCGGCGGCGGGTCCGGATGAGAACGAGATCACGGCGCTGCTGACCCAGGGAAAATCCGTGGAGGCGCTCCTGAGTGCCCTGCAAAATGCTCCACTGCGTTGCAAGAACCAGAATGTGAAGGTGGGTGCCTGCTCCGAGTTAAATCCACCACCACTAATCCCTCTAATCCCCCCGGGAATTTGCAGGACCACGCCCTGAACATCACATTGCGGGTCCTGCTGTCCATCAAGTCGACGCAAATGGACCAGGCCATAGATACCCTTGAGCAGAACGACCTGATCGACGTGCTGATGAAGTACATATACAGGGGATTCGAGATCCCTTCGGAGGGATCCAGTGGCCACCTGCTGCAGTGGCACGAGAAGGCCCTCGCCAAGGGAGGAGTGGGCTGCATTGTCCGGGTCATGTCCGACACAAATCGCGCCTAGAGGAGACTACCATAGCCAAAGGCGGTCATAGAGTCACCATCTTAACTGTCCCCTGCCCACAACACAAAGATTCACACGCATCGCGGAGCATTTAATCAACGCAGGAATGGAGCACTGGACACCACATCCTCATCTTCTTCGGGATATGCCACGCCCCAGCTGAAACCCTCTTCTGTTTCTCTGCCGCAATACAAATGACGTTTTCCAAATTAGATTTTAACTGGTATCCAAGTATTAAAGTTTTTATTACGAAAGGTGAGTGGCAGTGATTTCATTTAAAGGGATTCACTTCTAGCTCGCCTAAGCCACACCCAAATGTAGCATAATTTTAAAAAAACCTTGGTGATTACATTGCTGGTGTTAAAAAAGATTATAGGATATAGGATCATAAATTAAAATTCCAAATTTTTTATTACAATATTCAATACTATCACGCCGAATTGTTAAAAGAAAGCTGGGACTACCTATTCAATTCCTTGAACTTAGAAAATATAGGTTCGTAACATATTGGCTTATCTAATCGAACTTCAAGCTAATCAATACAGGTGACGTTACCGAAATATGTCAGCTTTGTAGCTGGCATTCCATTTTCTTGACTCCGATTGAAAGGCAAATGCCATACCAAACACATTCACTTTGTTCGAATCAACCTTTTCTGCTTTATTTGACTATTCAATGTGTAATAAGTGCTTTGGATAACCTAATCGAATCAATCACGGCATCTACAACTTCTTATAAATTTAAAAAGCGGCGAGGCTCGATGATAGACAAATGCCAGGCGAATTGAAATGCAGGAGTACGCTAAAATGAAAGGCCCGAAAGTATAGGCTCGCATGCAATTTGATGATATTTCAGTGCTCGGGAAGGGGAAACATTTAACAAAGAAGGAGTTCGTTCTGCTTAAACGCGTCTTCAATAAATAGTTTTTTATGTTGCTTATATGTGGGGATTATTAAGTCGAAACGGGTTCCTCCAATCCCTGACCAGCCTACCACATGTGGGTCTCGCGGATTTCGCTGATGATGTGATTCGCCCGCGTCAGTGCCTGAAATGGGATTTAGTTTTAATAACTTTCCTAAGTTTACTTGTTAGCTGGTGGATCTCACCTTCAACATATCTGCCGCCTCCTTTCGTCGCACTGCAATGTGATCCGACTCGTTCAGCAGTGTTTCAGCTCTATCCGATTTATAGAGATGGGTGACCAGTTCGCTCTGCAAGTTGTCCTTAACGTAGTTAACCAAGAAATGCATAATGGCCTTTGGTACCGAGTCTTGTATGGATTTGCGCACAATGTAGAAATACGATTTGATCAGGCGTTCTGGAAAACAAAGCACGTTGAGTTTACTTATTTAAAATATATGGATAAGTACTAATAACCCACCGATGACATCGCAATCCTTTTGCTCCTTGTCAGTCAGGCGACGTGGATTGTGGTTAGCCGGCACATCGGGCAGCAGATTGACTGGCTTCACTGGGCTCACCATGTTATTGTGAACCGGCGTATTGCTGGCCGAGTTTTCAAGGCTGTCAGGACGCGTTGGTGCCGGTGGTAAAATGTTTGACAACCATGTGCTGGCCATCGAAGACGTCGAGTTCTCGCCGACGTGGTTCTAGAACATGAAACGAAAATAGGTCAAATAATATGCATACACGAATACTGATTCTGGTGGCACCTGCTCATGTGCTTCACTATACTGCTGCTGCTGGCTATTCGGGTGCTGCTGTAGCTGCTGCTGCTGTGAGGCTGCACTGTGCGCCGAGACCTGTGGCGACATGTGGTTGCGCGGTGTGTTGCCCCGCCTCTGACCTATATTAATCTGTGAGTAGGGATCGCTGTCCGATTTCAGCAGACTGGGCACCAGGGCGGCATCCTTATGGAAATCGGGATGCTTGGTGTTGATGTAGGCCAGCTCGATGGCCACAATGTTCTCCACCATCACGTTAGTGTGCGGCAGTCGGCGGCGTAGCAGCTGTGTGACCACATCCACAATCTTCTCGTGAAGTTTGGGGAAGCTGTGGGGGGAAAATATGATAACTGCTATTATTTAATAATCTCTAGACCACTTACCGCAACATTTCCTGTTGCACTTCGTTGCCGCAGTGCTGAACAATGCGCTGCATCTCCTCGTGAATGAGTTCCACGCAACGCAGAGAGGGTTCCTCCAGTCGGCGGATCTGTCGCTTCACCAGCAGCTCGAATGAGACCTCCGGAACGAACAGGGCCGGACGCGGGCCCGTTGCATTCCGGATGGCCGTGAGTATGTCCATTTTGCTTAGACCCGCCAGCGGGTGAATGGAGTCCAGAGTGCGGCCGAAGGTCTCGTGGAAAATGTAGCATATCCTGGCACCGCCGCACAGCTCCGTGGTCTCGATGTTCCGGGCCGTGCCCTCGATGGTGGAGCAGTAGGCGCTGGCGAACTTGGTGATTATCTGCAGCAGAGTCTGGCTCTTGTCGGAAACATCCTCGCCGTAGGAGTTTAGCAGCGATTGGAATTGCGTGGCCATGATGTTGACGCGAGTCTGTAAAAATATGGGAAGTTATTTCTTTTAATTCTGGATGACTCTGTACTCTTATCAGCTTTTAATCTCTTGTTTTATCATATAAAAATATACGGATCGATTAAAATAGGTTGCTCAATTTTAGCAGAATGACATGGAAAGTTTTGGAATTTTTTAAATTTTGGAATAATCGTTTTTCTACATTTTGAACAATAAAAAACAAAAACAGAAAGTTTTATTGTTAATCATTTTAGTAAAATGTTAAAATTTGATTTTTTAAGACCGGAATAGTTTGATTCCTTTAAAATGTACTTCGGAAGTTAAGACTCACCTTAAGATCAGGCAGGCAGTCGCGGATGTGGTGCATCAGAAGCCGGTTGAGGGTCTTGGCCAAGTAGGGAGTGCCATTCCTGGTAGCCAGAGTGGGATACTTGCGCTGCAAGAAGGCCGCCTCGTCTTTCATCTGCTCGTCGATGTGCTTTTGATCCATGATGTCCTTCTGCGAGCGATTCATTACACCGATAATGCCTAGCTTGACGGGAATGACCCGGCCGCAGAGGATATCAATGGCATCGGTGCCGGCGTCCATGAGATCCAGTTTTGTGACCACGGCCAGGGTGCGCCTGCCATCGGGATCAACGTCCTTGGCCAGCTTTAGCGCCTCACTGGTGGCCATGTCCGTGTTGGCGGCCGTCACAGCCAATATAATGGAGTTGGGGTTCTCAATGTACTTGAGCACCAAGTCTTTGATCTGCGCCTCAATGTCCTCCGGCTGATCGCCCACTGGAACCTTGGTGATGCCGGGCAAATCCACCAGCGTCAGGTTGACCACGTGCGTGGAGAATATCTTCAGGTTTATGGGCTCCGGACAGATGCCCTTGTTGCTGCCCGCCGCACGCTCCGTTTCGTTCTCGATCTCCTTCCGGATCTCGTCAAAGTCCGTGAAACACTTCTTGGTGTGTAGGAAACGGCCCCATTCCTCGGCATTAGAGGTTCCTAAAGAGATGTTTGTTGATTAGAAATGTGTTTTTTTTGGGGTCCTGGGATTTCAACTCACCATTTTCCGCCGAGCGATTCTCACGATCGTCGAGAGGACTGTATATCAGCTGGAGAATCAGTGGGCGACGGGTCACAATCCCAGTTCCTCGGGGTAGAAAGGAGCGCCCCACGACGCTCTCGATCACCGAACTCTTGCCGGAGCTCTGGAAACAAAGGGTGGTGAGGAAACCGCATTAATTGAAGTTAAAACCGTGACTGATAAACATCGATGACCTGATAAGAAGAGCTCCTAAAGCATTTGCAACAAGGAAACACTTGGAAACCCCGAGATTAGCTATTGTTATCTGGCGGGACAGGTGGAATTCTATAAATCGAACTTTATAATTTTCTTTTGCTAAAAGATTTTTTGTAATAATTTTGTTATTTACATAAAAAATTGAACTTATTTTGTATGTTAAATTGTTTGTATCTAAAAAAAAAATGTTAAGCCTTCTAACTAAATTTTAAAGATTTAGACTGGTAAAAAATAAGTTTTAGACGTAAAACATAAGCTTTATGGTCTTTGCTGATAAGGACTAACATAATTATTAAGCAAAATTCAATATATTTAGGTTTACAAATCTACTGACTTGATATGGTAGTTATGGAGGTTCTCCTGTACTTGGTATCAATGACTTATGAGAACATTTAGTCATACGGAATTCTTTACAGAGCGCGAATCAAAGTGCAATTAAAGCCGCGATCGAAATATACAAACAAATCTGTTCGCGATGTGTGTACGAATGTTTGCAATGTGTTTGTGAAGGAATGTGTCACATCAGCAGCTGTTTTTTTCTTTTGTATAACTCAGCGGGGTATTGATTTTCCATGGGGGCGGCAAACATTGCCGAAAATAATTATATAAACCATGAAACCAGAAATAAAAACAGTAAGGTCCATCCAAAGAACGGATCGATTAAAAACACAACTAAAATGCCGGCAGACGCTTTTAGTTATATAATTTTGCGGGCACTTGAAAATGGCAAGAGTAGAGGATTAAGATATGTGCGTAATAATCCGGTTTTAGGAGAGTTCTCCTTTTGTGGATTTCGCTGATTTATTGTTTTTGGTTTGCAGATTTTTTGCAATTTGCTTACCTGACTGCCGAGAACAACAATTTGGGGCAGCTGTATCGAGTCGGACCCCACGGTGTTGAAGACGTCCTGCAGCTTGTTTATGACCGGAATTAGGGCCTCCATCGTGTTTGGGGATGTGTGCTGGGGTTCCTAAGATCGCGTTCCACTCGGTTGGCGATTAGTCCGCGCACATTAATGCCGTTCTTTGCGGGTTTTTCTGGTTGACGCGAGTACCTAAATTATTTTTGCAATACGCCAGTGTTGAACAACAAATTTTTACTGATTACTGATGGGGCTGCCACATCGCTGCAATAAAATTAAGGGGGATTGCTCTCGAAATGCCATTATCGGCCATCACTAGAATTAGGGCTCGTCGTGTTGCCACCTTAGGCATGGGTAAAAATATTAATAATTGCTAATTTTATTTTATTGGTTTTTAATTTAATGTTGTAAAGATTTTAAGTTATTTAATTATTTTTAAAAATTATTTTTAAAAATTATTTTTAAAAATTATTTTTACAAATTTTTTTTTCTATAGTGCCTCTGTATTTGTTCTCTTGAGTTGAGCTTTGGTGTTGCCACTTCCGTTCAATGTTAAGCTTTTGCAGCCCGCCAAAGCAAATATTCAAAAATCGGGGAGGGACTTTTAAAGTTTTACAGCTTAACAGCGATGGTCGTTTTATATTATTATTAGCAGAATTATTAAATCCAGGTTCCTATTTTCGCCGTATTCAAATTAGCAATATCTGTTGGAGGGAGTTATTTTACTTTTATTTGTTTTTTTTTCGATAAACAAACAATAAGTTTTATTTATATGTGCTTTGTGAAACGCAAAATACCCTTCTCGACCAATATAAATTGACTGAAATCTGTTTAAATAAATGTGTTGATCTAACTTTAATATATGACTGTCCTGTCTTAAAATAAAAAAAGGTATATTATTCTTTGTTTTTCGACTTTATCAGTAAGCTTACGAAAGTGTTATATCCTTAAAAGGATATCAAAGCCTAAAAGTTGAAGCAGCCAAGTGGTCAGACCACGTGCCTAAACAAAATGCGTAGAAAAAGGGACATTCTGGGGCCCTGCCTCAAGTGCTTGAGATTTGCATAGTGATTGGGGGCGTGGTTAGGTTGTTATACGATTTGGAAGACCCACAGCCAACCATTTCCAGACTTTTTCTCAACCACATCGATTGCCTGCTATGCATTGTGGGTGAAAATGCCGTGCTCATCTGTCGTTTTTATCGGTTTATTTCGATGTTCGAGGATGCTTGTCGCCCGGTACACTAAACATTCAAAATTCGATAGTGGCCTGGCACAAATGGACCAGAATGGTATAGTATTCCCCCACTCACGTTTGCATCATCTGTCGTATTTGATAACAATTCGAATTGTTGCTTGCCAACTCCCCTTGGCTTCCTTTCAAATGAAAGTGACAATGAAAGCTGTTAAGAGTTATCTAATATAATTTTTTAATGTTGGCTTATATATTTAATGGTTTAAGAACTATTTGAATATCGATTAGATGTAGTAAGGGAAACATTCAAGCTTCTAAAACAGTAGATAGTTGACATAATACTAAAAGGGACTATTTTAATAAAGTTTTTTATATTGCCAACATAAACAAATTTTTGGATCAACAAGTTACTTAAAAAAAAATGTAGAGCTTATAAAATCCAAAGCCCATAGTTTTTAATGAAAATCATAATACAGATTTATGTTGGAATTATGTATGTTTTATTAGTGATTCTGCAATGTTCGTCAAGCTTCCTTCTGGTAATGTGGGTTTGCTTAATGTTTGTTAATGGTTAAGTTTCAAATGTTGCCCCGCAGCAGTTGTCTAGAGAAAAAAGAAAGATAAGTAAATTAGTATTTATAAATTGAAAATAATCGTTTACCTTGAGATATGTTGGTTTGAATAATGTTGAAGGTTAAGTTTTAAATGCTGTCCCAAATCAATTGTCTAGGGAAAAATGAAAGATTTGTGAATTACTATTTATAAATTGAAAATCACCGTTTACCTTGAGTTCACCCCTAAGTCTTGCCTTTCCTTTAATGTTATATGTTGGTTCTCCTATGCTCAACCATTTTCTTATCTATGATAATGGTAATGAATCATTTTTCTTCTCCTGTTGGTAATGAATACAACATTACCATTATCATTTGGTAATGAATGTTGATAATGAATGGAACATTTCTATTATCATTTCAGTTCCTCTCCTGTTCCTCTTCTTCATATGTATTGTTTCCCTTGGGTTTTAGGCTTACCGACTTCGGCATTATGCAAGCCAAAAGCTGGTTAAAACAGTAACTCACCATCCATCCTCTCTCCTGCAGCAGCAGTAGTGATTTTTTCGAAATTTTGATGGATACCACCTTGTCGCCATTAGGGAACTTTAAAGATCGGCCGAACTGCCAAGACTTCGACAGAAGGTCTTGGTTCTGATCGATTAAATGTTTCATTATTTTATTATCATTCTCATGGGCAGAGTGCGGTACACAGACATACATTTCCATGGTGGCTGGAATCTCATCCTTGGGACAGGTTATCAGTTCGATCCCAATTACCTCCGTGATCTTTGGCATCACATGCTCAAGCCACTTCTTGGAGTTCTCATCCATGCATTTAACTAGAATATATCCTGGGAAATATCGTATGCCTTCAAAATTCATGCTGGCTATCCAGCCCCTCCTCATTTCCTTCACGAGGGCGTACTCAATCCTGGCCAGCTGCAGCATACTCATAACTAGACTGGGATAACTTTTCGCCATAACAGCCATGGTGATGCCTGGATCCTTAGAGTCCAATGAATTTGGAAACAATTCTGGTTCCTTCTTCATTGATTTCTTGGGCTTTTTTGGTAAGCCTTCGGTGCTATCGCCAAGGAAGTCGTCTTCCATCGGACGCTTGCGACGGCGGTCATTCAGAACAGGCGGCTCCGGAATGGGAGGAATCTTTACCGGATCCTCCCCAGGACTGCTGGTCTCTTCCAAAATGTCCAAAATCGCCTTGAGCTTACATTCGATTTGGTCCCCAGTCGGTGGAATGGGAGGAATCTTTACCGGATCCTCCCCAGGACTGCTGGTCTCTTCCAAAATTTCCAAAATTTCCAAAATCGCCTTGAGCTTACGTTCGATTTGCTCCCGAGTCGGTGGACTTCTTTCTTCTGCCTGATTCCCAGGGGCTTCCTCGGAAGTTGAAGGTTCACTTTTTCCTGACCACAAAAACTTGTCCATTTTTTGGTAGTTAGTTGTTCCACACAAAAAGTTAAAATGACTTGCCTGTTCGACGTTCGGTGAAAAAGTGAGGAATTCAACTGGCACCTTTTCCATCTAGAAATTGACAGCAAGTCATGGCCTACTGCCACATTTGTTAAATCAAAGATAGTGTTAGGAATAGCCCTACACACTAGTTCATAACACTTTCTTTAATATTTTAAAATAAGAGGAAATTTTCATGTGACCATCCTAAATTGGATTTAATGTTTGGAATTTGGTTAGGGCTTTTTTTATTTTAAATATAAAAACGATCTACAATTTATTAAAATTTTATAGTGCATGGCTCTAATGGGCCAGAGTATTGGAAACTTTACACTCAGAAAAAAAAGGAACTCAACTCTTTGTTTCTTTTAACAGAAATAACAATGCAAGTTTAAGAAAATTTTTAATTCCCGCTTTTCGATTATAAGGATGTAGGAAAAGCATTCAATCTAAAACTCAGTTAATAGTTGACAAAATAATAGGAAAGACTTGGAAAAAAGCTAACCCTATTGCTTGCATTTTATATAAACTTAAAAAGTAGTTACCAAAACGCCTAAATCCTCCTCCGTTGAAAGTTAAATCATTCAACTTTGGTACAGACTAATCTCATTTTTTGCTTCATTATTATACATTTTGGTGCGTGGCAAGTGGGCTTCTTTAGCATTTTCATAGATAAACTTTTGGCTTCCAATTAACAAATTTGGCCAGCAACTTTGCCAGCACACCTCTGCTGTGTCGGTGTGTATAAATATTTCAAAATTTCTCCCATCAAATTGGCATTGTTGGACCGGGGAACTTTCGTATATCTTTCGGCCTGACAACTTGCCGAAATGTGCGGGGTAGAAAAGTTTTTGAGATGACAGTTATTGCGAAAGACGGGGACCAAAATGGGCCCCCATTCCAGGGGGCGGAATATTAATTTGATAATTTTACGGCTGAATGCAAATTTGGTGTCAGAGTCCTTGGCTCTCTAATTGACTGACGAATATTTAAAATATGAATTTCAAATGAAGTTCAACAATTGTCTGCGGGTTATTCTTTTGCTCATCTTGGCGCTCCTTTTTCTGGATTAATTATAGAACGACGGCGATGACGATGATGATGATGATGGTGGTGATGGTGATGGTGATGGAGTTGGAACAGCTTTGGCCCCGGTGGAGCATTAATCATGTGAAAGTAATTTTGCGCATTTGCATGCGTTGCAGAAAACGATAATTTTCATCCATCATTTTCAAGTGTTTCCGCAGGATTATAGTGCTGCAAGGAGTCGTCTGCATTTCCCTGTCATATCCTGCGTGTGTACAGGATGGAGATGGAAGTGGGAAGTGGGTTTGGGTATGGAGATGGGGATTCCCCTCATTATCCAGCGTCGTGTCGTCGTCAATTATTCTTGTTCTACAGACTGACTGGAAGAACTTTGCATTTAGTTGATGAGCTTCTCTCGTCCTGGTCCTGGTCTTGGTCCTGGTTCTGGTCCTTCTGCTCTTTCTCCTCCTTTTGTGCTACGATGCCTTCGGTTTTCGGCTTTCATCTTTCAGCTGACTGCCAGTTGATCAATGGCTCTGCCCGTTTTCCATGGTGTTTCATGCAATTACGTATTTATATTGCGTATACGCCATGTGGAGACGACGGATGGATGGAGAGCCCTAAAATTGGGCGGGGTTTTTCACCCCCGAGTGTTCTTGCCACAACTGCAGCAATAATGAACTTTGATTTTGCCCTTTACCATCCCCGGAACCATGGATGTTTCACAGCCTGTGACCTGTGCGGAAATTGAGGAGCTGGAGCTGAGGAACATGCGATATAATTGCTGATTGATGCGGTTTCAAGAGGGTTATTTTATTTGATTTCCCATATTATACATATTTAAACAGTCAATTTTGTAAGGATTATTTTTATATAACACATGGAAAAGCTTTAAGATACAGGAAAGAAAAAGAAAAGAAAAAATACAAGAAAAAATACAAGAAAAGAAAAAAAACTGATAAAAGAATTGTAGAATAAATCTATACTAATTAAGAGGTCCCTAAAAAAACAAGTAGTAGCTCCTGCTGCCTTAATATACATAAATTTGAAATAATATAAAATGTATAGATAATTAAATTAATATTAAAATTAAGATAATAAAATATACATTCCTAATCTTTTGTATTGATAACATTTTTTCTTAAATATATTTTTCCATACTTTTTTGCTACATTAATATGGTAATAGAAATACCGCCTACATCTCAGTATAATGTGGCGCTACTCATTGGCATTCTTTAACCCATTAAAGTGTGGCCATAACAGAGTCTATCAAGTGGGCCATGTGTGCAGCCACTTGGTTGCTTTTTCGGTTTCTCCCCGGATCTTGGCAGGATGTGGCTACCATTTAGCAGATGTCGCCGCTTTTGGCACCCAACTCTTTGGCCATTAATCTGCCTGGGAACGCGGCTGCCAGATGCCGTCGAAAAGTGCGAAAGTATCGCACACATGTTTTCTTTTACTTATTTTTTTGGCAATGTTCTCGCCGTATGTTTAATTGGATTTGCAGCTAAGCGGAATTAGAACGCTCCGGGGGAAAAGTGGAGAGTTTCATTTGCATATTCCAGCTGTGGCATCTTGTAGGGAAAGCCACAAGACACTCGAAAAAAATATACAAATTCTAAATAGCAGAAAATTTCAAACAACTTTTTATAATAAATAAAAAAGTTCCTAAAAATGTTTTAAAAAATGTGTTTGACTCGTGGAAAATATTTAAACATTTTTAAACTGTTTGTTTTAAAATTTTAATTAGTATAATCCCGTTTTCGAAATTCAATAGAAGCAATTATTTTTCAGAGACTTCCCTTGAAAGATCAAAAATATATTTAACAAATATATTGAGGGCTTACAATTTTAGAAAATTTGTCTCTCGAAAAAAAGTTTTTAAATTCAAAAATATTGTAACATTTTTTTAAGCATATAAAAAAGAGATTTCAAAACTCTAGTGATAAAACGAGTATCTTTTCAGAATAAATTTGCTGGATTCAAGCATATTGTTGCATACTTTTAGGCATCTTTATAAGGGATTTCAAAACTCAACTGATTCTGTGACTTCTTAAATAAATTCTACAACTTTTTGTGAGAGTGCCGCTGCCAGGCGACAACAAGCAAGTGTAAATTTCACTTGAACTGATAATTTCACTCAATTTGTGTGCGCTGATGAGCAAAGTTTTCCCATTTGCATGGGACTACGTGTGCCGCCAATTCCACGCCCCCAGAAACGCCCGACTCCTTCTTGGGGATGCAAGTTTCCATCTTTCGCTTCTCCTTCATCTGACGATGCTCCTGATTCTGATGATTTCTTTTTCGTCGTCGTCGTCGCCGAGTTGAAGGTGCCAATTAGGGATTTCCGCCTCAATTACTTTCGCGAGCACACGAAAACCAAGTTTGTATGATTTTCGCATGACAAACTTAGGGCTTTCACATCGACGTCATCATCCCCATTCCCAGAAAGTGACTGCTTCCTTTGGCGGAGTATTCACTTCCCCAAAAAATGTAATTGCACGAAGTGCGCCCCCGAAAATGTTGGGTGTGCGTGATAAAAAACTCGTTTGCATTTTACATGTTCATCTGCAGGTGCAGAAAGCTGGAATACATAGTTCATGTGGCTTTACCGGGGACTTGGTAATTTCCATTTTCATTTCTACCGAATGAGTTCCTAGCTGCTTGATTGGCTTGGCGATTACGCTAAAATGATTGCAAATATGTGAAAATGGTGTCGGAGTGGACGAAAAACGAAATATTTGCATTGGTGGAAAAGGTTTTTTATATAAATTGGTTGGTTATACAAATAGTAAAATATACATACCTGCAAAGAAACAACGTTATGGGTTTTTAAGATATATAACTCTATATATCTTTTAATTTTATTATTTCTATCTGTGTCGATGAAATAGATACCTATTTATAGAAAAAGGTTAAGAGCATATTAATTTCTACACCCAAAAAAAAATGATCATAGAAACTAAACTATTCGTACATTAAAACTAAACTATTGAGTGTCAAAAATATCTTGATAAGATGCGTATTAACCTTATGACACCGAAAGTATTAAACTGAAACTTTCGAAGTTATCAAAGTTAAACTAACGAGTATACAATTTATACTCACTCAGTGTACTGAAATTTATGCTGATAGTTTACTTTTTATACTATTTAGTATAAAAGCTATCCTATGTAGTCTCCGTTTTATACTATTTCGTATACATATTATACTAATCTAGAGAGCCGTAGTATACTTTTTAAGCTATTTATCGAAATCGTTAGTATACATTTTATACTATTTCGTATAAAACTTATACGATTTCCCCGTTGCCTGTAGTATAAAATTTATACTATTTTGTTTTTCGTGGTATCCCAAACCCAATAAAATCAAGTTGTATGTTGTTTTTCTTTTATTACTATTTGACATATTATTTTGTTATTATTTCATAAATATTCATATTTTGCGCAACACACAACTCATGTTTTTAGCTCCTTCGTGTTTTTTTTTATATTCCTTTACCTAACACGTATATACAGACTAAAATAAGTACAAGCAACAAGAGTAGGGGCCGTGATTGCGCGGTATCACCGCAAGGTATTGCTTAGCGCAATGGTAGCCACCTAGGCTGTAGCTTCTCTCCTCTCATTCTCGATGCGACGCAGCGTTCGCAGTACACTCGCTGCGTAGGCTGCCGTCGCTGGCCGAACTCTTGCCCCGGTGGTCTTCATCAGCATTTGGCGATCAGACCCGAAGCAGTGACATTAAAATAGGACATGCTGATCGTCCTCAACAATCCCACTGCCGGACTCTGGACAACCGTTCTCCGTGTCGTGTCCGAAGCGCTTAAGGAAGCTTCGAAAGCAACCATGTTCACTCAGCGCCTGCGTGAGGTAGAAATCTACCTGGCCGTGCTTCCTATTTACCCTTGCGTCCAGCGTGCAGCGTCCCTTGCTGGAGTTGTCCCAGGCTGCCTGCCAGTTGTCGACGCTCTGCATCCTGGCACTCCTCTTCACCTCGGTCTTGGTTCTGTGGCTCCCGCACCAGTTCACATAGGGGAACTTGGCCTGCAATGACGAGCGCTGCGTCGTCCGGAAGGCACTCGCTGTTAGCTCCTTCGCGTTAGCTCCTTCGCGTTATGCATCTGTACGCGTGCGCAAAGCACTTGCATCTGAAAATACACAATACACACAAAATTTACCAACAGGGACAATATAATATTGATTTTTTTTAATTTTAGAACAAATATTTTACTTACATGTTGACTCGGCACAAAATTCACAAAAATGCGGGACCAAATTCACCGAGATAAATCATCACAATAATCATTAACGCGTCAAACAACGCCAACTCCGGTAGCATTTTCTGTGTTCGTATACTCGCTATTGTCCTGGTTTTACACCAAAATATATGTTCGAATATTCGCTATTGTCCTAGTTTCACACCATGAAAAACTATTTAATGTTCAGTATACTATTTATACTACTGAGTCTCACTCATATAATAATTGGTATAAGCTTAATACTATAAAGTGTTGGCATGAAACTATTTTGTAATAACTTGAAACTACATTTTCTTTATACTACATTAAGTTTTTGTTGAAACCAAAAGTATAAATTATAAACTAAATAGTCAAATATGACTAGTTTAAAAATAACACTACAGGTTTACGCTTTATACTCTTTGGTAGAGCACTTACACTACAAAGTATACAGTTGAAACTAATTAGTGTTGAGTTAATACTTACATTTTTATACTAACTTTAGTATACTTTTAACACAACGCTTATTAAGTGTATACTTTTGGTTTTTTTTTTGGGTGTACAATTAATTTATAAGCTTAGGTACAATTTAAAATATTATAACAATATTTATATACGACTGTTAGAGGATATTTAAGTTTATTTAAAGATATACATATCAGAAATTATGATATTTTATTTATTTTTACATTTTTGTTCACCAAAATTGACAAATCTTCAAGTTGTGTACTAATAACCTACCTATATTTCTTCTCTATGTATCGGTGTAGATTTCTCTTGTCAAAGTACAAACCTTAATTGTATTGCAGTGGTTTTCCGATATTAATTAATTCGAGACCCCGAAGTAGACCAGCAGGAAAGTCATCTCGAAAGCCCACAGACAAACGGGCTTCTGTAAATTCTAAATACACTGGCATCAGGTCGAGGCCTTTCAAATCAAAACCAATATCGGACTAACGACAAAGGCAAACGTTTCCGTACCTTTTGTCAAGTCACGGAAAGGCCGAGGAGCACTTAGCAATATTGCATTGCAAACCGGGATAGGAATCAAATCGAGGTGGTTAGATCTGAATCGAAGGGAATTATTTGTCAGCCAGAGGAAGGGGTCAAATCGGATGTGTGACGATTCCGATTCCGATTCCGATTGCGATTGGATCCTTGCTCGTCCTGCTGCTTAAGTGTAATTAAATTCACCCTGCCCCACATTCCCCGAGTGTTGCTCGTCAAATGGATTGATTTATGATGATGCCCTCCTAAACTCCCCTCATTCCATCCTCCAAATCTCCAATCCTCCTGCCTGGCTGACGAGGCATGACATAATAAATCGCCATGTCCTGGATCCCGAGTCCTGAATCATGGGTCCTGGCACAATGACACCGACACACATGAGCCGGTCGCACAGATTTGAAAATTAATTTGCGAAAAGTTTCGCCTGCTCAAATCTTCCATTTCACATTCCGCATTCTATGCGCTATATTTATATTTATTATTTAATTTTGCCCCGCTTCTGTGTACTTTGGCGTATTTTTACGCTCGACTGCTGCCTCGTTCTTTTCTTGTGTTGACGGCAAAGTTTAATTTTTATTGTTGTTTGACTTTGTTAAATGATTTTTATTGCCTTTCTTCCACGGAGCAACGACGAGGGAAGAAGTAGAAGCCTTTGTAGGAATTTAATATAACTGCTGTGACCATATTGCCGGGCAAACAATGCACAATGTTCCAGTTTTTCCTCAGCAGGAGGCTTCAAGCTAACCAATCCCCTTCCTTGGCCCTTATTGCTCTAGAATTTATTGTAGCTCTCCGCTGAGTTTGACGGTTCGACTTGAGATATGAGGGCCATTTGATTGTTTTGTACACACTCAGGAGTGGCTGCCAAATTGCCAAGTATTCCAGCCATCCAAAACTTGAAATATTCCCGCATAACTCATAAGCATCTTTTGACTTGACTATGCGCAAAATCAAACTGAAAACCTGTGAGTAAAAAAACGTAAGTAACAATCTCGGGAGGAAACCACAACAAAGAGAACCTATAAATTTTACAGAAGGATTGAGATTACAGCTGAATTCATCACAAAAGGGTCTTATAAAGGGCTTTATAAATAATACCGCTGAAAAACTCGACTACTGTTTAAAATGTTTGAAGTAAAATGAGGTATCATAGTTTAAATTTATTCTGATATTAAAAAATTATATATACTTACCTGAAACTATTTTTATTTTTAACCAAAAACTTTTTTTATAATATTAAATTTCTTAAGATAACATTTTAATCATTTAACAGTAATTAAGTAGGTGCTTCTATTTGGTTGACCTGCGCTGTAGTTTTGTACTTGTTCATATTTACTGAAAGAGCATTTTGAGTCACCACAATAAAGGCGTCTTTCAAGAGCCTCGAGTTCAAATAAGATTTTTGGTTGCGAAGTGAAAGAGTTCAGCATTCAATTTAATTACAAGTGCTGAGGTTGAGATGAAGTCTGTGCAAGTCTTTGAACTTCATTTGTTTAAACTCTTTTGCGGAATTATTTGACAATAAATAATTTAATGAATAAATTTACATTTTTCAGTTCAAGAAGGCACTAATTTAGTATTTCTAATAACATTTGTAAGTCACAGTATCTATTTACAAAATATAAAAATACCAAAAAGTTCCTTAAACTATAACCTTAAACTATAAAAGTAAACATTTCTTTAATAGTTAAACTCCATGGTGGACTAAAGATTTGCTCAATCATGGAATCAGGCTATCTTAATTTCTGTCTGTCCACGACTGCGGGAATGATTAATTGCAGTTTGCTGGCATCCAATGAGTCCACGTCGAATGATTTGCATAATCAGCTGTCAATTACAGGGCTGATCAGATATCTGCGGCTTTCGGAGGAGTCTTTATTCGATGCGGCATTAAACAAATTGCGCTGCAAGCCATCGGGAATGAATTCTGAATGGCTGCCAAGCGGACAATGGCTGTGGATTAGAACGAATAGTTGCCATGGCTATGGATGAGCTGCATTTGTGTCAGCTGGTTTGTTATGGATGCTTGCATTACTGAGCGGTATATCTTTTCAATTCCCCAGCCCACCCCCCGCTGTCTTCTTTTTCCCCCCTCCTCCCCGGCAAATGTCCTGCGAAGGACAATGTACGCATTGCGTCACTGCGAGAGATACGCCCATTGTTCGAGCTGAAACAAAGCCGAACCCAGACCCAAACCCCAGCCCAAATCCAAATCCAAAGCCTGCCATGCGACATTCAGCCTTCAGCCTCTCGGCTTTAGTCATAGTTTTAATCTCACTAATGGCTGGCACGGTTTCAAGTCGATGGCTACAAAAGCCCAGGACCTCCTGCTCATGTCACAAAGGTCCTTTTGCTGCACACGACAATTCAATTCCTCCCCCTTCCCCAAAAAGAATAAAGATTCCGTATACAAAGGGAGATATACGAGATATGCTCATCTGCAGGCCCCTATCTTGTTGTTTGCATAAAAGTTTAGGGTAAAAAGGTTGAGTTAAGATCCATGCAAGTGCACATTTTTACAAAATTAAGACACCCGAACACTAAAAAATATGAAAGAGTGGAAAATAAGTCATAATTACTCGTAACAAAATAACGATTCTTTAGAAACTGACAGCTGAATGTCAATAATCCAATTGATACCTTTATAAAGAAGTGAGTAACTGACTGTAAAATTGTATTGGCAATCATCAGAAATTTTCGCATAGTATATGGTAATGTGGTAGAAAAACAGAGAGTGTTAAGCTTCTAAGCTTTCTTGACTGCCTGCTTTGATCATACATATGAGAGCAAAATAATAATATCAGTATAACTTGGCACCTCGGATCGTAAACAGGTTACTGCCGCAATGCGGGAACTACAAATACCGGGAATGTTTTGGATTGCAGCTTTCATAATGATTGGCACTTGTTTCACTTGTAAATCTTAAATTTTTTAATAATTACTGATTAATTATAACCCATTTTTATTAACAGATGCCAAGCCGCGGACCTATGTGAATGACTTTGTATTTCCCTCAGAGGAAGATCATAAACCTCGCATTTGGGAACAGGTCACAGAAGATCAATCATCCGAATCTAGAGACTACAATGGCCATAATAAAAGTCCGGATAAGTGCACCGACCTACACATTGATGACTCGACAGGAAACGCTTGTTTAATTTTCATCAGCTACAAGAAATTGGAAGATCCCCTGCAAAGTTTAAAGAGGGTACTAGTTGAGGAACTTAATCTTCCGGAACTCGTATCTAGCGTACGAGTTCTGAAGCGCGGAAAGCATCGCTTGGTTTTTGAACTGCCAAGTTCTATAGACGCTCTTCTCGCTCTTAATGGTTATTGTAATTTATATAAAAATCGACACGATCGCACCTATGAAATTCTCAGCGTTGAGAACTGAGAGATTGATTTCCAAAGAATTTAGGAACTAGATGTTTTTATACTCTACATCCAAAATTGCTACATATAATTGTGTTACTTGACTAGACTTAAGCGCGTACCTAAATCTATATATAGCTTGATAATGCTGTGCAATTACAAATGACGCGGCTTATAGGGTGTCTAAAAATAATAGAGTTGCTTGAGTAATAAAAACCAGCTTTATACTAAACTAAGACGTTCTATTTAATAAAAAATTACTTTCGTAAAATACATTACATACAAATACTCGATCTGTACAAATTTATTTGATATAGTAAAGCTGACAAGGAGTAGTAATCTATTTAAAGGTATGACGCAGCAAATAAAATACTATATGGGCTTGCCATAGCCAACAGCAATCTTATAATGGGTAATCCCCCATGGAAATTACTTTAGAGCTGCCTGAAATGAACGCCAACTATTGTTTGGCAAAATCAAACAATCGAAAGCCATAAATAAGTGGATGTGAATCAGAGCGAGCTTTGTTTGTAGCGGATGCGGATTTTAGACCCCGGTCGCCAGGTGAACGTAGAACCTGGACTACATGAATGCAATTAAGATTGTTCGGCGTCATAACGCATTTTGTATGGGGGCGTGGATTTGGAGGTGGGCTGGCTTGTTTATTGACGTTGGTGTTTTTGTATTAACTGGGCTAGGAGGCACAGGACAGTATAGAACACCCCACGAAGGCCCAAGTCCCGGTGTACCGGTTACCCCGGTTGTTGTCGCGCTGGTTGCCCTCGCTGTTCAACATGGCCACAATGGAATAGTTGGCCATGGCGGAGGAGCCCAGGAAATGGGGATGTGGGCTGCGAGGATACGAGGCGACGAGGATATAGGGGAAATGGGGAAATGGGCGAGCGGAGCTTTACAATTTACACATTAATTATGAGCAGACATGTGTTGTAGGCGTTTTGGCCAGGAACCCAGCAAGGCTGCCTCGAGTCTTGCGGCGCGGTAACAGGTGCCTCCTGTTACTTCATTGCCTGCCCGTGCACTTGAAAAAATAAAGCTAGTCATTAAAAATAAATCATATATTTTTGCAGTTGAAATCAGCGAATATTTTTCTGATCCATGTCATTTTTCCATAGCTTTTTATTATACTTTTTACAATCCATCACTGATTCACATCCTTTAGGTAAAATCTTTAAGGCCTTATGAGACTTGATAGATTGTTAACTAGCTTGCTAGATTTATTTTTGAAAGCCATGGTAATCTAAACATTATCAAATATATAAATTTATAGCATGTTATTAAGCTATTTACTTTCCTACTACTTTATTCCACAGGTTCCCTTAGTTTCTAAAATAAATCCAGCCAATAAGTCAAAAAAAAGCAAGGGCTATGAGGGCCTAATGGTATTTTGAAAGCTTTTAGAAATTTGATTATTTTATTCACTATAGTGAGTAAAAGTATAGTAAGTATACTTAGCTTACTCAAAAAATGGTATGGTAATATTAATCAAAGTCCTTACTGAACTGACTACCATAATAAAGTCTACCCAAAACTTATAAAGGAGTGTTTGAAATATTTTGGTATATTTTTGAAAGTATGTTTTGATGAAATTCATGAAGTAATAAGAAGAGATTTAAAAAAAAAGTCCTAAAATTAATTAATTAAACTTAAAATTATAATATTTATTAATACAAGTTTTAATATCTTAGACCTAATATAAAATTTTGAACTTTTAAGAAAAATGTTAATTTTGTTGTTGTGGCTACCCGATTTCGCTGAGTGTGAAAAGTATGCAAATTCCGGCTAGGCAAAGTATGCCCCTGGCCGGGTTTTATGGCAGCGAATTAATGAACGCAGCCAACGAGCCTGGCAGTAACAAGGACGTGGGGAAGGGTCATTATTCTGCCCATGTCCCTGCTCCAGCTCCTGCTCCTGCTACTCCTGCTACTCCTGCTCCTCCAGATCCTTCCCTGCTGCAATGCATTGTGGCCTGCTGGTCAGCTTGTGGCTCCACGAATCAGGAACACCTCCATTAAACCCCCACCGCCGTGTGCAATAATAGCAATAATTTATCACCCCGGACCCAAATTATGCATGAACTCAATTGTGCGTGAAATTAAATTTTAAGCGCAAACAAGACGACTTGTCGGCTCGGCCCCTGTTTACCCCAATAATTTGGCTAATTTCACTTGTGAGCAGCCGTCGGCCAGGACATCCAATTCAATACAGCCCACAAGCCACCCAGACCAAATATAATTGAAAATATTTCAAATTGCCCAATGCAGCCGCAAATGACATCTGCACGGCCAGCATTGGTTTGCACTAATTGAGAATTTCTTGCTCTTGAATGTTTAAACTTGAAGTTCACTTCTGGATTAATGAAAAATTAATAATCTCTTTAGTTGTCTGGGCTTTGAAATGCCACGACCAGGGGTCAAAATGATTTATTGGCAAAGAGGCAGTTTTATTACTTCAAGTTTGTATACACTCAGAAAAAACAAAGACCAAGACTTGTTTCAAGCTCATTTTGGGTTTTAAGAATGATTTGTTCTTGATTTAAGAACGCTCAGGATATTCATTCTTAAAACTAGCCCTAAAAACACCATCGGATATCAAGTATAAAACGCACTTATATTTAGGATGCGTTTTTCTTTTCAATAATACAATATACAATAAAATACAAGAAAGAAAAGAAACTAAAAAGTTCTAACATCCAATTAATTTTCCACATCTGTAAACTTTTCTTTAATTTACTCTATGCCATCACAAACTTTGAAAATGCAAAGACACGAGGGTCAGTTGAAATAAATTTTGTAACTCACTCTCAAATATGCCTGGGCAAAATTCTCCAAAGACATAAAACACCAAACTTTTCGATTGCATTTTTGTCGCCGAAGTACATAGAAGTTACTCTGATTGCCTTAAAAATAATTTATTGAGTCAATTGACTTTTGCAGCGGAGTCTCCGCAAATAAACGCACTGCAATCGAACTTACAATCTCCGGGGAGTCCCAGGCACCATACACATTCACTTGATTTGATTGTGTTGACTCTGCAGAGGGAAATAAACTTAAGTGCAGTGGCCACGTTCCAGAATTTCGAGAGATTCTATTCGATTCGATGCGGTTCCATTTGAAATTTATTGCGGCCGGAGTTCGTTCACATGGCAAGTTAAAGCTCCGGGTTACATGACTCATTCAAAATCCGGCATTTGCTCATTTTTGGGCTGGGTTTTTCGGGGGAAAGTCCGCAGTCCGGACATTTGCGAAATTCTGACTCAGACCCAGACTCTGTCCAAATGCAAACCGAGTCACACATGTCAATTCAATTTGATCGGAGGACCGTGACGGATGAAGGAGGAGGCCTAGCCGGAGCTCAAGTTGAGTCCTTGTTTCCACCGGGGACAACACAACTCCACTGGAATCCCAAACCCCGACTGGGGGGCACATGTCTAGGTTTGGCCAAATAAAAATGTCTCTTTTTCCTTCACATTGATTGACAGACGGAGTCGAAGAAGGAAAATGTCTCGTTGAATATGCAGTGTGGCTTGTCATTCAAATATCATTTATAATTGGAAGGTATTTCCATATGCTCAGACTATAACTTTGTGATAACAAGTTTTCTTAATCGAATTCTTAACAAGATAAATGGAAAGCAAATAAGTTATGGAGCCTAAAAAAAAATGTGTGAGGTACCACAGAATATAAGCTAATAAACCTATAAAAAAAAAATACAAACATTTTTTAACTACAATGAAAAACAATGTTCAAAATTTTAACAGTTTTAATAATTTAAGCAGTATTTTCCTTTAATTTTAAATTATTTTTTGAATAAAGTACATATTGTAATAAATTTGGAGTATAATAATTTTGTAATTAAAGACACAATTTGTTTGGTATGCAAATATTATAAAGCCTAAAAAGTAGAGTGTGAAGTAGCCAAAAGAACATAAGGTCATAAACCTATACAAAAATTAAAACCAATTTTTTTTTATAAAAACAGAAATGTTATATTTTTACTTAAAGTAAAATTAAGAAAAAAACTTCACAATTTTAGTTTGAACCAGTAACTACTACAATTTATTCCCTTGTATAACGTTGTATATTTTAATTTAAAATAAAGTAATTAATTTTTTAAATATAATAATTGTGCAACCAGTAGTCTGTTAACAAAGTCTCCACTGGAATTCAGCCATTTGATTTAAAACTCACCACCAAATCAGCAGCCACAACTCAGTTTTCAAGCGACAACCCAAGTAAAGCTACAAAATGTGGAAGTTTTGTAGTCGTGTGGACTGTAAGTAAGTGCTTCCTTCGCTTTTGTATAAGAGCTCATAGTATATTAAATGAAAATAAATAAACAGAAAAATCTGAACAGGTAAGAAAATAAATACACTTACAATAAGGAATAAATACATTTTGCATAAATATTCCCCCCTTGAAATCATACCTTTTAGGTAATTAAATTCATAGACACATTCAACCGAGCAAGTCAAAGCTGAGATTTATACCAGCGTAACGAAAAAATTCCCAAAAGAATTTGTTTTGAAACTGTATTTATTGCAGCTAGTAGTGCGAAAAGATGAAAAATGTGTATCAATCCGTTGGCAAAGGATGCTGCAAAATGCTGAAGGCAAATATTTTATGGTTTTGGTTGCCGCATTTCGTAGTTGTTCGACACTTTTAGAAGAATTGCTGGGACAACAAAAATGTATGTAATAAATAATGCAAAATCGAATATCATAAATAAAACAATTTTCATTTTCCTTTTTGGCAAAAACAAGATCAAATTTTATTTTATTTCACTTACAGCTTGGTATCTTTTTACTTTTATTATATACGAAAATTTATGGCAGTAGGAGTTTTTGGTTCCAAATGTCTTTTGTATTCAAATTGTTTAATAAATGCTATTGATGAAGATTTAAAGTAATTATCAATAAACAATTTACATACGTTAGGTTTCTTTATGTGTAAGATTCTGGTTTAAAAGGATACAATTTTTATATCTTTTAAGCTGAGAAAATAAACAAGTACACTTACATGTCTGCATTTACTCGCCTGATTGTACGTATGGATTTAATAACTTTAATTCACTTGCCGGAATGGGAATTGCCCACTCTGTTTTGGCATTAAGTATCTCTTTTGTCTCTTTGTCGGTCGCTTAATTAATTTATTTAATTACATACCCATTTGCATTCATTTTTAAACAGCTGGCAAAGTTGCCATTATGGTGGATTCGTGTCTGTTTATGTTTCGCTGAAAATGAAAAACAAACTGAATGAAAATATCATCAAATTATGCAATGTGTATATTTTTACCATTTGCTTTTGTTGCAATGACAAGCTGAAAACGAATGGAAAATCAATTAGGAAACGTAATGATGTGGAAATAATCATAAATTGAGCTGAAAATAAATCGTACAATTTTAAAGCTAAGCCCTCATATAATGAATGAAGTCTACAGATTGAAAGGTTTTTAAACAAGGATTGCAATTAAGTTGCGTAAAAGTGGAGTTAAAATTTTAATGACCTTAATTATGCAGACACGTACAAGAAAACCCTTTTAACAACAGATTTGATGGAGTTAAAGGCCCTCAAAAAAAGGGTTCGGAAAAGACGTTAAATTTAATCATTGAATTAACCCCCAAGTCGTAACTCGACGAGAAAACCTTTTTAAAAGAAGATTGCGTATCCGCAAGGTGGGCACCACATTTTAATTTCTGTAATGTTTGCACTACATTTCATTGACCAAAATTTCCAAGCCTATATTAATAAAACTAATTGGCTTTATATATATAAACACTTTTTTTGTATACTTTTAATTGACTAAAATTATTATTGCGGCTCTGGTTTCCTGGCAATTAGTTTAATTACAATTTTAATTAAAAGTGGCTGAAGCTGAAAGCAAACAACCACAATTTTGATTTTTAAATGCAGGAGGCAAAACCAAACAAATTTATTAATAAAATTTGCAAGGGTATTATGAATAGGAGTTAGTACTATAAGGCTTAATACATCACTGAGGACTCTGCTGAAAATGTTTTCATAAATATTTGCATGGACAACTTTGTTCCAAATAAAAATAAAAATCCCATCGAAACTAAAGCCAATTTTATATGATTTGGCCATGTAATTTTAAGAGCTAAAATCCCTGCATCTCTGATTTGCATCGGAATCCAAATAAAGAACACGGACAGAGACGGACGCATACATATTCAGAAAGATTTCGCATGCGGCGCACATTTTTGAATACATTTGACAATTTTCGTAAGAGAAATGAGAAATATTTGCATTTACTTGAGTAGCAGCAGCGACAACGACGACTACGACGACGGCAATGCAAAAATGTAATTTCCATGAAAGCAGCCAGCTCCGGGGGAGGAGAAGGTCGCCGAGTTACGGGATGTGGGTGAGGATGAGGACGAGGATGAGGAGGAGGACGAGGTCCTGGAGCCGGAGTCATGAGCCAAGCCGGAGTCATCCGAAGTGGCTGCAAGTGCGCAGGCATTCGGGAGCTTCCCCCAAGCCCTGGTTTCCACTGTGATCCTAGAACAGCTGCACTCGGAGAAAAGAAGTGGCTTGGATTAGTTACCTATGTTTAAAAAAATTATTAAAAAAAAAATAAATAAGAAAAATTTTTGTTCAACATCTTAATACATATTGGCAAAAAAGGAAGTAGTATTTTGGCCGACATTTTGCGAAAAAAGCTCAGAGTAAGGAATGCCATACCTCGTTGAGCTCGTAGTTTAATTGCCAATTGATTAGCACTAAAACCTGGAAACATAAATTTTTGGCCATTTTTCGCAAAAAATCATGATGTTACCCCTTATTAAAAATGAAAAAATTGGTCAAAAAATAAATTTCACAAAAAGTTATGGGGATCGTTAGCCTAGGTTATTAGCTGTTTAAAACTGTCGGAATTTTAGCTGTGTGCCTCGTTTTGAGTAAGTTACGATTGAAAAACAGCAAGGAAAGTGTGTTTTTTTTGAAAACCCTATGGCCATAAAAATAGAGGTATTTTAGCAATTAATTTAAGAAATAAGGTCGGAATAAGGATTGTCATACCTCATTGAGCTCGTACTCAAATTCCCATTCGATTGGCACTCAAACCTGGAAACTTTAGTTTGTCACCCCTTATAAAAAATGTTCAAATTGATCAAAAAGTAAATTTTCCGAAAAGTTATGAGGATTGTTAGCCTAGGTTGTCAGCTGCTCAAAAAAGTCGGTCCTTGAGCTGTGTGCTTCGATTTGAATAAATTACAACTTAAAAATGTTTAAAATAAGTCATTTTTTTCCAAAACCTAATCTCTAATCTCTCCAGAATAAGGTATGTTATGTTTTTGTAAGTCACCTCAATCTCTTGAGCAACCTTTTAGATAGACTGTCATTATTTCAATGAAATATTTTGAAAAAATTAATTATAGGTACAATTTATTAAATAAATAATTATTTTTACTCTATTTTTTTTGAAAATAAAATGTTACATTTTTAGAAATAATTTTTTAAAACCGACAATAAAAGTATCAGTATTAGTGTAATTCAATATTGAGAAAATCACTCAAAAGTTAAATCTGGAACAAGCTTGCATTATTTTTGTTAAAAATGTTTTGATATTCAGATAGAGATTTCACATTGAATGCCTATGTATATGGCTTCAAATAATATTTTTCTCGGTGTATTTTTTATCCAAGTGCTAGCAGTAAAACTGTGTAGGCGAGGAAGTTTCTGGCGTGTAGGGAAGACGAGGCGTTGACGGCGGTGTCTATTGTGCGGGTTAGCAGCGGCTGCATTTGCATCCCGACAGCAGATGCTCCGCTCAGCCAGCCGGGGAATGGGTTCTGGGCGAGGATGTGGATGTGGATGTGGGTGTGCCATGTGGACTGGGGGATTTTCCAGAGCCAGAGCCATAGCCATAGTCATAGCCAGAGCCAAAGCCAAAGCCAGAGCCTGTCCGGCGGCTGGCATGAAATATTTGACTTTTGATTAAAGCACCGACTCAAGTGCTCGCCGGAGCTCCCTGGCGCTCTGCCCTGCCACTTGACAAGATTCACTTGTCTTTCAAATGCATTTCATATTGTGTTGCATAATTTTCTGCGGTTTCCCAGCTCTAATGTGGGAAAGCCCTAAAAAAAAGATGGGAAAATTCTAAAAAAAAAGAGAAAAGAAACCACCCGACATTGTGAAAAGTTTTCCAAGAACTTACTGGGGAACTAGTTCCGTCGTTGTCATCGGGGCTGTTGTTGTGGTGCTGCGAAATATGCATTGTTTGCTGTGGTGCAAAATAGTCGTTTCTATTTCTATTTCTATCTGGCTGGCAAAAGTGTTGCCCAAGCTGCTGCACTTGTGCCAAAAACTAAACAGAGCAAGAAGTTTTATGGAATTACACGTTCGAGTGCAGAATTCCCATTCCCATTCAAATGGCATGTGATGGTAAATAAGTTTGGCACCCTGCAGATGATTCCTTACTTCTGAAACAGATATATTTTGAGTAGTACCTCTGAGTTTGGGAACTCAAATAAAGTCAACATTGTAGTCAGTACACACTTAAATTGACCAATATAAAAATAAAATGGTCCTAAACCATCAAATCGTCAACTTGACCAACGAACTAATTATTATCCTAACCACAAAATACACACAACTTACGATTTTATGGTAGTTTTACCATTAAACAGTAAACATAAGTCTAATAAATAAAACCATAATAATAGTAACCACAAAATATACGTTATTATACTTAACAGTTCCTAACCTTTTTTACAGTAACGTAACTATTTGTATTGGTTAATGTTAAATTTAAGCGGTGTTTTGTGAGATTCAATTATTTTTACACTTTAATCTAATTATGAATTTAGAATAACAATTTATTCGATGAAAAGATCACTAAAAAGGGAATTTTGAAAATATATTTTTGCATAAACCACGATTTCTATTCATCAGAATATATCAATAATGTGTGATTTAAATACGAATTTGCTCAATAATCGAGCAAGTTTAATTGGCATGTGTGTGGACCACTTAAGCGCGGCAAAGAGCGAAAAATCTTGGAGGCACCACTTTCACGTTCAGAGCAGGACAAAAAATTAATCATACGCTCCGGTTGCCAGCACAGTGGAGGGGAATTTGCCGGGATCAAGGGAAATATTATTGCGGTACAAAGGGCAAATTAATTTTTCATAAAAGGCGAACCACGCGGCCACCGCAGTGGGGTTCTGCCCCTCCTCCGGCTCCTGCTCTTGGTCCTGGGCCCTCCATCTGCATCCCCATCCTCTAGAACCTGCGGTTTGCTGCTCACGCACGTAGGATATGTACCTGCCACACGGATATACACACACTGGGCTGGGCGCAATTAATTTTCAATGTGCGCTTTATGCAGCTCCTTGCCGGGGTCCGGATTTTCCATTCGCCTCCGCTCCGGCGGGAAAATGCGGCTGCCAAGGTCCCCAGATGCGATGGCGAGTGCGGCGGGGCGTGCTAATTGCCACACAAAAAGCGGCAAAAGAAATGCATCCAACGTTTCGAGCGTTTCGAGCCCTCGAACAGCTCTTGATCGCATCGCTGGCTAATGTGATGTGTGCTTAATTTCCGTTCTTCAGCTAATTGGCCTCGTTTGCCTGCGTTTCGCTAATTACTTAATCATCAACCCCCGGACAGCCCCTATATTTTTGGAAAAATTAAAAATAGGGTAGTCTATAGAAAAAGAATACAATGGAAGCGAGGAAGCATATCCGAAAAGTGTAAATCCAAAGCTTAAAAAAAGTTTATATAAAAATGAATGGTTTTTTTTTTTAAGTAAAAAGGTATATGTTTTTAGAGCTTAAGAAGCTTTTTTTATTTGACCTGCAACAATTTGAAAAAAATTAGTTTTCAAATGTTTATTTTAAACATTATATTCAAAGCGAGCACGTGTTTATAGGTAAACACAAATCGAGCTAACATACATATTCTAAGCAAAAATAATATAGAATATATTTTATTATCTTGGTTTCATTCATCTGCCCTGCTTTGAAATATATGTTTAAGTCTTGATAGTGTTATTTATGGGGCATAGAGTCTAATTACTTTGATTAGGCTAATAAGAAATTTGTTTTATAATAATTACGTTATCAGTATATACAGAAATAAATCAGTATGAGTATAAGTTAATCAAACATTTTTTAATAGGGATTTCGGGTTTTCAAAAAAAAACTTTTTTTAATTGCACTGCCTCTTCGGCCTTATCATCATTTGCGCACGTTTTAACGAATAGGTATGCCCCTTCCACTGATACCAGTTGATGCCCTTTCCATGGGTGTTATCGCCATATTTGCCAGCCAAATTGCTAAGGAAAGTAAAAGCATATTAAATAATAAGTTTAGTATTTTAAAAATATTAACATTGAATATATACCTGTGATGACAGGCAGTGTACCACCAAGCACTACTGTAGGTTGTGGCACAATTGGCAGTGGCATGTTTGTCATTGTCGCGATCTTTGGTGGTAAACTTCTGGCCCAAATGGGTGGCCAAAGCATCGCCGGCGTTTCCCGAAGTATTGCCCAATGATTCCAGGTTAAAGCCGTCCTGCTCAGAGCCAATTTTAAAGTTATCGTACATCTGATATCGACGATCTCCCTCATTGTCTTCGAGTAGAACCAACAGTTCTTGGGTCTGCGATGAAGTTATGGCGTGCAGCTTATCAAGGCCCAAGAAGAATTCATTCTCTAGCTTTCCAAAACCGTTTTTATAGTCGTTCCAATCTCGAAAGAACTCCTCACTGCCGTCTGTGCGTCGTAGAAAAATGGTCCAACCACCACCTTGACTTAACTGATCGCAGGCCACCATAAACGGGTTTTTACTGTACTCGGGCACCACGATCACATTTATTTCACTGTGCTGGGTGAGTACTGAAGGTTCAGCACAACTTTTTCCGTACAACTTTGTCTCCACTCCAATTTTTGACAGACAGCTGTCCACTTTCTCATTTAAACCTTCTAGTAACTCCCCTTGTCGCTCCTGCTCTACACTAAAATGATATGTTATTATTATTTTTATAAGAAATATATTTATTAATGAGGTACACTAACCGCACTGCAATCATTTGCGATCGTATAGACGCCGCATTGCCGCAAATCGTTGATAATTCACACACTTTTTCAGCATTTATACAGGCTAATGTATTAATGATTAAAATTATAAATAAATTTGAGAGCTGCATGACTACTTTAGAGATCAATTGATCGGCAACGACTGAGCTTAGATGCTTTTATACAAAGCGGCAACAAAGAAATGCTGGGGCTTTCCTATCGCTAAAGCTCGGATTATATTTTTAGCAGTTCTTCCCCGAAGATTGTTTACGTTGAGTTTACTTTGAGATTCCATATAATTTTATACACATTCTTTTTTTTGTTTTTCGAAAGCATTGTAAAAACTTCTTCATCAAGCTTACCGATATAATATACTACCATGTTTACGGCTCAATAACGAAAACAACATCTCAACTGTATCTGATTGCAATGGAGGACAAGTAGGTTAGTGGATTGCATTCGTATCCATCAAATTCGTTTGGCTGTCAACGTTTCCGGTCTGGCAGGACAATCAGGACTGCCAGGACTACCAGGACAACCTGGACAGATGTCTGGGCTTCGAACTTGGTAACGAGCTCATCCGCAGCCCGGCCACCAAACCCAAACCCGACACCCGAAACCCAATCCCAGTCCCAAACCCACTGCTGTCTGTCAAATTGAGCGCAAAAGCCTTGGCATCCAGCTCAGGTGACATCAGTTCCGTCTCGTTACAGTTTGAAGTTTACCGTGTGTGACAGGCCTGGGGCTTGGTTTTGGGGGCGGTGGGTGGACCACCGCAAAAAAGTTCAACCGTAAAGTTTTCAGTGCGGAGACAAGGAAAAACAAAGAATTTTTGTTTTACCCAGAAGAAAAGAAAATCTAAATTACTGCAAAACGTAGTCCTCAAGGATGACTCTATGTAATTCTCAATAAAAAGATTTCAGAGAGCCAAGGTCTAGATGCCACAGAAGTTACTAGTTTTAAAATCCCTTTTGAAAATGCTTAAAAGTATGCAGCAATATATTTTCAATCTGTAATTTTGAAGAGCCTATTTTAAAAGCTTACGTTCTTATTTCATTGCATACTTTTAGACACCTTGATAAGTTATTTTAAAACACTGGATCTTATTTTAGTGTTATTTTTCATTTAGTAATTAATTAAATTATTTAAGTAATTATAAAAGTCCTTGTAATATACTAAAAAAAACCGCAAATATATAAGTATTTGAAATGTGTCAAAAAAATTATTAAAAATGGAAAGTCTGTTTTATTTTGTAAGCCCATGATTCATGATTTCTGAAATAGAGCTACGATTTTTGTTTGAAGCTAGAAAAAATTCCCCACTTAGCCCACGCCTCTGTTTTCCAGCCATTTCGATGGGGTAAACAGGATTTGGGGGCATAAATCGAAATATTATCAAGATGCCAGCTGGTCGCGTCGCAACTAAATTGTTTGCAAATTTCTGCTCATCTCCCACCATTTCTCCATTTTTCGACCCAGCGGCGCCTGGTGGACAAGAAAAACAGAGACAGCGGCAGAAAATTGTGTAAACAAGTTTTACCCACCTATGGCTGAAAATTTACAACCCGGCCCAACATTGGCCTAAGCATTTCGAGGGTTTTTATTTTAATTTTTTGTTGGGTTGTATTTCATTTTACTTCAACACTCAGCTCGTGTGTGTGTGCGCCTGGGGGCAAACTTTGGGCATAATAAATAACATAAAAATGAAGCGAATTCAACCTCAAAGTTCAATTCAAATAACCACTCAATAGATCTGCCGACTACTCCTGGGAACTTGCCATCGCAGCTGCCTTCTTCCTGTGCATACGAAATGGCCGCCGGCTGGCTGGAATAGACGATGAATTTAAATATGGCCAAATTGAGTATTGGGCACGTAATAAAAAAAGGACCAAGGCAGTCGGATGGCCGTTATGTATGGCATCGTAAATAAACCCTTTTTTTACTTAATCCAAATTCGTCCCCGGGGAACAATTTGTTACACAATTTAAAAAAAAAAACGGGAAGGGATAAAGGACGAGAAGCAGCGAAAGGCGTTTAGATTTTAGTCCGAGTCCAAGTCGAGCTGTGTGTCCTTGCCAGGACGAGAGGACTCGGGTCAGTTGTGCATACATTGTCCCTATCCGAGCTGCAATATTTTCGCCATAAAATATTTATATTTCCTCGCTCTCCACTCTGCCAGTAATATGGTTTTAAATTTCCATTCCGAATACATATTTGATGTGCTTAGACACAGCGAATGTGCAGGGCAATAAAAGAATCCGACGAGAGATATGAAGATGGAGCGGAAAGGATTTGGGATTGCTTTACTTGCAGCTGGATTTTCTGTTTGGATCTGCAGTCGCTGATTTCAATGCAAAAATCACATTTAAGCTGAAATATGCATAATCCTTTTTGGCCATCTTGATTGGGAAGCAAATATTCGTAATCCTTTATATCCTTTAAATTAAATAAAAATGTTTAATGACGGATCTGTATAAGGGTTTTAAAAATCTATTTTAAATGTCATTGTAGGTGTCTAAAAGTATGCAACAACAAATTCATTCAGAGAGACTGCTGTTTTTTATTCACTGCATACTTTTAGGGGTAATTTCAAACCTCTACTAATTTCGGTGGCGACTTCAATTTCAACAGGCATATGGCGCAACTCGAATGCTCATATGCCTATCCACCAGAAAATCCCCCTCAACTGTAACAACAAAATGAGCTTTGAACCTAATCAACTGTTTCGGGGATCCTTAAATGCCGCTTTGGCCAGAAACTATAACAACTGGGCCAGAGACAAAGGCACATGGGGAAAAGCAAGAGCCAACTTTTCCGAAAATTAGCGGAAACGGAAGCCAATCAGCTGGCAGCGGAAACCGCATTGTGCCGCAGTCCTTCAATTTCGTGGCTTCGATTATGATGAGGCGATGGACTCCATGGAGTCCGCCGCACGAAGGACGATGAGTTCGCTTTGGCTTTGCGGTCAGAGCCGAAAATAATGGCCAAGAGCCAAATTACGTTTCCGCCATTTGGTGCCGGGCAGCTTTCGCTTGACCGGAAATTGTGAAAAATCAACTCGGTCGAAGGGCCACAACCCAGTGTATGAGTGGGTTGCCCCCCAAAACTGACTTCGCAGGGAAAATTACCGCTTAACGAGCAAGTTTCAATATAAAATAAACTTGAGGAAAATATTCGAGAGAGGCGAAAAGAAATAACCCAGCGAATTTGTTTCACTCCCAAATGAAGGCCTCAAGGAGTTCAAATTAGAGATGGGCGCTTGCCGTGAAAATATCGATAAGCATTAATATTTATCGATTTTCTCTAGGCAATAATATGAAATTTAATTTTCTATGGGAAATGTTTAACCTTTTTTCGTAGGATTACAAATTTCTTAAAGTAAAGTGGTACACCTCTAGTCAATTTCCTTCTCATCCCCCAAAAAGAGTCTCTGGCATCTGGCAAATGTCTGCAAATTTTATAATGAAATTCCACAGCGTTTAATTATGCCCCGAGCAGTAAGTGCCATAAGCCCTCAGATCCGACAATGGAATTTGAACTCTATCCGAGCTCAGCTTTGCATGAAATGTATAAAATTATTACAACAAATGCCAGAAGACTCACTAAATCGAATTTGAAAAATCAACAACCATGTGGATGGTATTTTGGCCCTGAGGCATTTGCCATGCAATTCAATTATGTTAATGCTGTAATGAACATTTACGATTTTAATGACATTCCAGTAATGTGATTAAATTCATTAAGCTATGTAATTATTTGAAAAAAAAGTATTTTCAATATCATCGGTTTTCGCGACTTTAAGCTTGGCTTAAAAAAGAATTTAAGTGATGAAAAGAAAATAAATTTGATTAATATCGATACAAAATAAATGTCATAATAATCTTTAAGGATCTTCCAATTAAGCTAGTTTTTTAAATGATTTATTTTAAAAATTGTATTATTATAAGTAATAATACCAATAATGTGATTGCTATTAAACATATAAAAGTAAAGGTAACATTTACACACAAATAAACTTAATTTTTAAAGGGTTATTATTAGCCAATGTATTTATTTTCCGCATGATTAAGGCTTTAATATTTTATAGTCATCATATATTTTACCATTTAAATAACAGAGAGTTGTACAAAAACCCAAAAGTTTACCCCAGCTTAAATTCCAACGTTTAGGGCCGTCCTAAAAATCCCTTGCTAACATGTAAGTCCTGGCCTCCACTTGAGGTATCTGCATCTGCAGCCAGGTCCGATATCACCATCCAGAATATATATACGAAGGTATATGTATAGTTTGTCCCCTTATCTTTTCCGCTACGTGGGCGCACGTATGCGCATTCGTTCGCCTCAACTAAGGCCCCGTGCAAATCCGTTGCAGACCATAAATTATACACGGAAAATGGTTGGGAAAAATGTGAAAAGCGGGTGCCTGCGGGTCGCAGGTCGCGATGAACGTGAGAGGTTTTTTGGCTAAATGTCGCCCATGAAAAGTGGCAACTGTTGCTGATGCATTCGATAATTAAATAAGGCAAAACAAGATGTCGACAATTTGGCTACGGAATTTGAATGAACATATATACATATATAGATTCAACACACAGGGGAAAGCTATTTAACTTTGCCGACCAACATCCGCTTTTCCAACTCGGGGATTTTCCGCGCACGCAAAATTCAAGGCAAGCAAAGTTGAGGCGTCGTGGTCGAGGCTCTGTGAAATTAAATAAGTTGGGGAAACCGCTAACGAGAAAGGTGTCTGGCACTAGGAATTAATGCGGCGGTTATGCCGGGCCCCTCGGCTCTTGGGAACCGGAATCCCGAGTCCTGGAACCAGGATCTAGGATCTCCAAGAAGGTGGGGGAGGTGGCAAATGCGGCGGTGGCAACGCGTAAAATTGCAGAGCACATGTGTTTGGAGCTTAATCTGTTTAGGCAACACGAGAAGCGCCTGCCGACAACTTGGTCTAAAACTTCAGGTAGCACTAACTTCTACTGGCACTCCGCAAGTCGGGTTGGAAAAGGTGGAAAAGGGGGTTCCTAGGAAGCCCCAACGAGGTCACAGAATGATGCACTGGACCCATAGAAAAGAGGGCAAGGGGAAGTGGAAGCTCTGGCAGCTGGATGCGACTTCCTCCAGAGTCGTTAAAAATGTTCAAGTTGCAATCTTTTGT